CTCTCTCTCTCTCTCTCTCTCTCTCTCTCTCTTTCTCTCTCTATCGTTGCATCACAGTTTCTGTCAAATCACGCGTTATGTTTTTCTTGCACATGCGTAAAGATGCTACATGTCGAATTTGTGCCAATATTACAAAGTACATCGCGCGCGTGTGCACGTTTTATTGTCCGAGCTTGCGTAGTAATACCAAATTTTTTTCCCCGCAAAGGCGTGATGATACAAAATGGATCGGTGCTGAGATGCAGCGATGTCGTGACGAATTCCACGGCGGCAGCGGTTTGCGCGAACCGTAGGAGGAAGAAAAAGAAGAGAAAGCCGAAGGGTTCATACGCTTTCGTAAGTTTAATGCCCTCTTCTTGTCCTAATTTTGCCGTTCTTTTCTCCCTCTACATTAGCGTCTTCTAGCTTCACAGACAACACTTGCAATTATAAAATACTATTTGCCCGTCGTCTAGTAGAGCATAAATAATTTCTTGCATAGCTTTTATTGACTCCTTAAGCTTAGCAAAATTGATTTGTTATGCTTGAGTACTAATATACACTTTTTTCATTCTTCTTTTTTTTTCTTTTTGCTAAGTAAAACTTGTATTTTAATTTTTAATCTTTGCTGGATAATATATTTCTATTTTATAACTTATTATGTTAAATTTACTGCACGTGGAGCTATAAAAGTATAATTTTTAATGATTCATGAATTTATTTTAAGCGATTTATTGAATTGTGTAATTAGGCGGTAACTTTAAAATTCGGAAAATTAGAAAAGGGCCAGCGTAATTTTCTTTTGAGAATATTATTCTTTATAGTTATAAGAATATTTATCAAGCTCAACGTTATAAATATATCAAGAACATAATTAAATATAAATATTTATAGCTAACCAAATTATTGGCAAAATTTATTCTTATTTATTTTCGCGGTTATGCTCGACCAATGTCACGAATAATAAATTCGTGACGCATTTATTATTCGTTGAGTAAAGGTTAAATTAATTAAAATTATTAAAATAATTAAAATACCATGTTTATAACTTTAGATAAATCATCAATTATCATATACCCTATTATTAAATGGATAAATGTGTGCGTGTATTTTTATTGCCGTTGTGTAGTTAAAAGAAATGTGATTAATACAAAACTTTTATCAATATTAAATATTAGATAGATTAAAAATTAAATTTTAAACTTGTATAGTTATGCTTAAGACTCGCATAGTAATTGCGCTTTATTTTGCCTTTGATGTTAGCATGCGTACATTCATCTGACGTATTAATGGATAAAAGCGAGGTTGTAATTAGACAGACTGTAATTTTAGGGTAAAACAGAGGATGAAGAGGAAGACTACACTTCGGAAGATGAGAATGGTTTATCATCCCCTTGTGTTTCCTGGTTGGAATCGACGACGACGACAACGACGACGATGACGACGACAACGGTAACAGCAACAGCAACGGCGACTGCAACGGCAACGGCAACGGCAATAATGACAACGGCGACAGTAACGGCGGTGACTACGGCGACTATTACGACGACAGCGCCGACGATGACGACGACGACGACAACGACAACGACAGCGACGACGGCCACGATTGCGACGACGGCGGCTACGGCGGCGATGTCGACGAAGATAACGGCGGCGGCGGCGGCGGCGGCGGCGGCGACGACGACGACGAACCTCAGTAACCGACCACTCAATCCTGAATGTCAAGAATTTCATCCGCGATCCACCGAGTCGCAATTGAGAACGGAAGACTGTATTTCTAGAGCCTCCAAAGCATCGATGCTCAATAATCACGTGAACAACGAACCGAAAAGACTGATCAAGGAGAAGCGGCGTGATAACGGCTTTGTGCCCAAGGTCAACGGCACAACAAATTACGAGAAGACCGCAACAGCGGACAAGTGTCAGTTCCAGCAGCCCCTAAACAGCGTCGAACTACCAAAGTCCCAGAGAAGCTTGCAGACTCTGGACGGCGGGGATCCTAGTGAGTCGAAGCCCCTCTTCAACGGCGACGCGCATCTAGGCAACTCGCGCTCGACGCCCCTCTTACCAGAGATCAACGAGACCACCAGTCCCATCAACGCCGAGGGACAAAGACTACCTACGAGCTACGAGTCTCTCGTTACCCGGAGCACCGATAATCCTAACAGCGACGGCGCTAGCCTGTCGCGACGGAAGTACGGTACCAAGGAAGCCAAATACGTGCGTGAGTCGACTACTGCGTCCGATCTCGACGTCTCATCTAGCCCGAAAAACGACGATTATCGCCTTGAGGATGTTCAAGCGATGCTCAGCGCAACAACCATTGTCGAGATGCAGTCAAACCATAAGGATGACCTTGGTGAGAAACGCCTGCAATTTTATACTCATATTTATCACACATTCCTTATTTGCGTGAGTTTAATGCGAGATGATTAGATTTTTGTTATTAAAACGCAATTTGGATATACAAAATAATCGAACTTTTGCGAGTCTTAAAATACTTTTAAGATCATTAGTAGGATTGCCTGGTGGCGCGCATATTTAATGAACGATTAATTTAAATGAATAAGATAAGAGATTTTTTTATCGTTTTGAAGTAAATGTAATTATACAGTCATAATACTTTTGGAAAAATAGTACTTCGCGTTTGAAAATAACGATGCTTAACAGAAATAAGGCAAAGTATATTTTTATATTAAAATTGCTTAAGCTCCGACTCTCTCTCTTTTTGCTAACTAAAATACACATAATATTAAATAAATTACATTCTCAAGATCCTACTTTTTTATGTTTCATTTAATTAAACACACAACGATCACTTTAATATAGCTTAGCTTCTTAGTATCCAAACGTTCAACGAATGAAATAAGCTATTCGATTATGTTAAAAACTACTTATAAGTACATAAAAATGATTGGAAAAAAAAAAAAAAAAAAATTTAAAGGCGCTCTGCTTTAGAATGACCGAAGGCAACGACTATTGCAATAATTACTTGATATCATATTTAAAATTTATATTGTGAAACACCGAATAAGCTATACTGTCATAGTCATTTATGTTCGTTTACAAATTTGCATCGCATCCGAGCAATTTATTCAATGCAACGAATAGAACTTATAAAATAATTATTGCAATATTATTCAATTTATTGTAATAATTTTAGTTTAATATACAAAGCTCATAACTATCAAAAGAGTACGAATGACACATTACTAACGTTTGCCCATTCTTACTAATCATTTTTACAGTTTGCATTTAATTGAGCGCGACATTCTACTTTTGATTAGATATCTGTCAAACTTGGGTTAATGAAAACTCGAACACCTTTGAAAGTCTCACCGATGAGAATAATGAAATGACGAAATCGAAGATGATGGGGTCGATAACGACAACTACAGCGGCAACAGTAATATCGGTTAGCCAGGAGAATTCCGGCTTCGATAGTCAGACGAAGATCGACTCTTCGGTGCGACCGATAAGTAGTGCAGTCTATGAGTGGCTCAAGACAACCAACTCGTCCGATCTCTTCGTTACGTCTTTGTCGGAGAGTGATGATAATCTGGATGAGGAAGAAGAGGAAGAGGAGGAAGACGTCGATGACGACACATCGATGAACAACGAGCCGCCAAAAAACTTGAAAAGCAATCCCATACCTGCACTATCTGTTAATGGCTGCGCCGGTGAGCGCGAAGCCAGTCTTAATAAATTCGCAAATACCAACAGCCGATCTAAGAATAGCGGCGAGAACACTGCCAAGGTGTTAAACAACGCTGCATTCAAAAGGAATAAACGCGCCAAACGTGCTAAGAGAAAACGTGCAAATAGCTCCAAGACCAAGATGGATGCTCATAATTTCTGCGCTAATAATCAACAAGATTCACTCGGTAATTGGATTCTCCCTACCCTCCCCCCTCCCCATCCCATCCCCCATTCTTCTCCCAACCCCTCCCCAACAATATTTCACTCTTTTTTTTCTTTTTCTTTTTCTTTTTATTTTTGATTATTTTATGAGACTGTTAATTTATCGGTTAAGCTATTAATATTAATATTGATTTCAAATTGTCTGAAATTCTAAAGTTTCAGTTCAAAGTATCGTTATTCATTGGACTCGGCTGAGTCGATTAGAAAAATTTCTTGAATCTGGAGATTTTAAGCGAATTAGCGCAGAAACCTCTATTCTACGAATTTATAATATGTAATAAATAATTTCTAACGACACGTTTAGCCGTTATTTATTTATTGTTTTTATTTAATTATTATTATTATTATTATTATTATTATTATTATTATTATTATTAAACAATATAAAATAAGTGATATGCTTGTCAATAGCGGAGAATGTTAAATGATGTTGGTACAAAGTGTACCAAGCATAATGACTAATGATAATTAGTATTCGATATTTCAGCTCTAGTACAAGAAAATGCGCAAGTTTCTGTCGATTCATTGGAATCTCCACCAACAATGGCGGCTGATGGCATTTGCAAACTTATTGAGAAGGATAGCGATGTGGGTATGAGGATTGCTGAAAATTCTCGGATAACTATGAGAAAACTCGAGGAAGCTGGAGGACGCTGCTCGAGCATTGAAAGACGTGATGGAAAAGTCCATCGAGTCCAAGAGATCAGTTGCAAGGATAAATATTTAGCGGATGGACAACCAGTGAAGACCTTCGAAAGGGGCGAAATCGTTGTTTCAATGGAAGGTGAATTGCTGCTCGTGGCGCTTGCGCCTCAAGAGGTCAGTCCAAATGACCCGTGTCGTAAGAACGACCTCAACGGCTCAACGAGGATGAGAAGGGACAGTGACTGTACTCCGAGGGACGAAAAGGAGCTCTCAATCGGTAGCATCGGTAGTATCGAGGAGCCAGATGTTCTCGAATGCTGGGAGACGGAGATTGTCGAGCCGACACCGACTCCGAAAAAAGCGCTCCTGGAAGAATCGGCTAACGATGAATTATTGGTAGCTAATAACGGCTGCCCCGACCGCATGGAGCACGTGCAGAGATATTATCGACTTCAGGTTGAACGGAGCGAGACCAGTGCCGAGGACGATATTTGCGATAATGTAGCTTTAAACGATAATCCGCGTGCATCTCAATCGTTAACCGTGCCAAATACTTCTGATCAATTGAGTTTAAGCACTAGCAGCGAGGAAGAGATACCGATGATCGTACTCGGAGAAAAAAAGGAGAACTCTGCCAATAAGAATTCAAAGCTGCCAATCGAGGAGGCTTTCGAAGTCTATGAAAGCTTTTACACGGGCAAACCACTTATTTTTGCTTCGATGGATTCGAAACTTGGCAAATCGCGATTATTTAGTCGGGAGACAGAAGGTCCAATACCGTGTAAAGCTGTCTGTTGCATTATTCAATGACCATCGGCGATTATCCAAACTGTGGCGTTTCTCCGTCTTATCTAGCCAAGTACCATTAATATTATGATATTGATTTTTAAAATACATTTCCAAATCTCTTTTTATAGTTATTGATTAATTTTGAGATTAATGTTTTATCGGCTTATTTTATCACTCACATGTTCAATATGACAAATATTAATTTTTTGTTTTATTTTTATAGAAGCGATGCTGGATCAATTGAACATTTTTTTTTTTTCTTTTTTTTTTTTTTACGAATTCATGATTTGCGATTAATGGTACTTGAGAATTTGACTAATTGACTGAATTCGTGTTATTGAGAAATGATGAGAGATCGATTGAATTTTCTTGAGCATCTACTATTACAAAGAATAATTAAAAGCATTAAGCGAATAAAACTTTTGTGTTCCAAAGAGCTTTGCGTTTGTAAATAGCATACGAGCATTCGTTTACGCTTTCAGCCACACTTCACAAAACTTTTTTAATGTGTAAACATATAACGAATGCTTTAGCAGCTTCAGCACATACTTTATGCAGTTATCGTAGAACTTAATATTCTTTATCGTAGATACTCCATGATAACTGTTTTTTTTCTCAAAGTTTCATGTATGTTTAGCTTTTTAAAAGACGATTGAAAAAATCGTCATGGTTCCTAATTACTATTACTTGATTTAATAGAAAAATAAAAGTTTATTTTAAAACGGTAGGGGATTTCGTTAAAGTGTTGCAAGTAAAAATCATTTAGTTTTTCGAAATACTGTTTCAAGTAGTCAAGTGCTACGTACGATATTCCCGGCATAATCGTTACTGTAATTTGCCTCTACATGTATGAACTCGGTACATCAGTACATTATAATATTGAGCGAAGCAATGAATAAAAAGCTAGTCCGAGAAGTCTGATGACGAAGATACCAAAGCGGTAGAAAGTTACAGCATATTGTTAGATTTGCTATCGCTCTTGTTATCGATGATACAAATATTAAATGCGTGACTGAGGCTAGAACTCAAGTTGTATGTAATTAAAGCATATTTTGTACGACCCTTTCAAACGAAAATTTGAGCCCGTGAAGTTTAAGGATAAATATAATAACTACCGTTTTTTCGTAAGACTTTTAAGAAAATAAGATTAAAAAAAATAATCGCGTGTTCCAAAAGCTCGTAGCGTGAACGAACGCGCCTGCGCTATCGTTGAAAGTGACTTATACGATACACCGAAAAAATCATCCTATACAGTTTATAATAATCAGATCTACTTTTTTGCTTTTTATGCACTTTTATACATTAGAAAATGATATCGCATCAGTACAAGTAATAAGCGTACAAAATAATGGCAGTTGAGAGGTAATACCCATTCAACTAATATAAAAAATTCGATTTGATTGCGAAAGTATCGGTGATGAATTTGGAGTTTACAGAAGCAAAAAGAATAGATTAGGTAAGATATAATTAATCTTAGATAAATAATTAAGACAACATATAGTAATCGAAAAAGTTGCAAACAAAACAAAAAAATAAACAAAAAAAAAAAAAAAAAAAATAAATAAATAAATAAAAAATATATTTAAAATGAATTATGTAAAGCCGATAAATTCTGGAATGAGAGAATGCAGATGAAATATTAAGTAGACGACATTATTGACGATAGACAGTGTTAAACGTTCTCTTCGGAAGAATCTCTACGGAAGAATGTAAATGCAGGCAGAACTTGTGTTAATAAGCGGTTTGCACTGCCCAGAGAATATATCGAAAATATAATTCATGAAATTTCAATACATTTTATACTTACAATTTACGCGTGAATAGGTACGGAGTAGCATTCGTGTACGACAGAAGCTTGCATTGCATAAAGTTCGATGATGCAAACACAATAGTATGAAAATGTTTATACAACTCGTTAATACGTGACTGAAAATTGAAAGAGTACTCGTAATGACATAATTCACACCCGAAAATGAAACGAGAGACGAAGAATGATAAAAATGGAGGATGAAGAGAAACGAAGTAAAGATGGCAATAACGATAGCGCAGGAGGCTTGCCTCATATGCAGCATATATACCTCATAAAGTATGTAAATATAAAGCCGAACTATCATCCTCTCCGTCAAAAACAAATCAACTTATCAGACATGCAGACATACTGATGCATTTTCATTCGCTTTCTTCAAATGTTCGATGCATAATTAATTGTTAAACGGCAGTGGTACACTTTACTCGATCATTGTCTGGATTACTAATCGGTGTTCTTTTATTTTCGACTTTTTATAAAGTCGATTCGGTATTAATTTGGCCATCATATTTTACTTTATATTACTGATACATAGGTGTGATATGTCGCTATTATCAAAGTGCGCGTTGCATCAATTGTGTGCCTTATTCTGTGGCGGCCATTTTTTCTAATCGATTGACCGTAGGAGTTTTCTTCAGGATGCAAGAAATGATATTAAAAAGCTTACTTTGAATTAAAATGAAATGGACAGAATAATAATGAAAATTCAAAAGAACTTTACAGATTTACAACTTTACAATTTCTAAGTAACAAATAGTTATAATGAAGCACTAATCCCGTCGTTGATGATAAGTAATGGGTCTACCGATGCGACACGAGCAAATAAAAACACGCATACATAATAATATGGACGCGCAAAAATATATGCATCAAGGGATAACAAATACACGCGTACACGCAGATATACGTATATGATAATGTATTTATTGCGATACGTTTAAAAACACGAATAATATTGCTGTACAATTTCATGAAAAACTTACTCTATTCAAATACAATCTAAGGAATAACTCTGTACTTTAATTCTTTTGTGTTTTGCTTAAAAAATATGAATAAAATGATTTTAAAAAAATCTTAGATTTATAATTTTCACATCACTTGATCCTTCCTTCCTTCATTTTCTCTCCTAAGTTTTCATATGGTATTTACAATAATATAAAATTATGTTCTCATATAATAATAAATATTAAACAAAGAGGAGATATATGTGAATAAATTCTGGGAGTAAATGTAAATTATTCGATTAAATTTGCCTCGGCTGCTCTATTAAATTACAAATTTGACATTTAAGAATTACGCTCAAATTAGAAAAAAAAAAAAACAACAAAATGTTAATGCTAGCTTTACAATTGAAATACTCGCAGTCAATTAGTGATATTAATTTCAAGCAAATTAACCGTTTATTTAAGAACATCAAAACATGCTTTCATTCAATGTGATATAATTGAGCAGAAATTTCCATTAAAAAAAAAAAAAAAAAAAAAAATCTGACTGATATATATTCTTCAAACTACTATCAAATAATATGTAACAATAAAATCTCAAACATATTGAACATATTGAAAATACATTCGTCTTCACAACATTACTCGTTTCCATTTACAATAATTTTCTTATTTAATGTAACACTTTGTTATTGCACGTCATCGATTGAAAATAAAATCTTTCGTCATTCTAAAACCAAAATTATAACTTTATTTACACGAGCAACATTTTAATACATTTACAATAATCATCCGTATACCATGAAATTCAACTTTATTGTTTAATGATAAATTATTTTTAAAATGTAATTGTGATTGTTTTTTTTTTGTTTTATTTTGTTTTTTTTGTTTTTTTTTTTTGATTTTTTTTTGTAAATTTTAATTAAAATCCCTAAATATATTTTAAAAACTAAAAATATATTCGAACTTAAGAACATGAATTAATAACAAGAATAAATCAATTAATAAGCAGTTAAAGTGACTCGGTATAAAAGTATTTGTATAAAATCAAATACAATGAAATGGAATATTCAACTACTTTAATATACAATGTAATTTTCAAATAAAAATATATTCCATATCAACGTGCCTTAATAAATCCCCAAACGTTATCCACATTATTTTTCATTTAATATTTTACACAATTAAAAAAAAAAACAAAAATAATAATAATTAATTTTCCTGCTTATCCATGCAATATAGAATTGGCAAATATTCAAAAATTCCGTCTCACTTGGCGTATATGTGGCATTAGAAGCAGAGATGAAAAACAAAAAATCGCCGATCAGAACAATGGAGCCAAGCTATAATTCTTATTAGGAATGCGCTCTTGTCTCTTGTAAATACCAACAAAATTAATCCGTCGAGTTTATTGCAGCTAAGGGAAGGTCAACGAATAAAAGGAGAAGGGGAACACGTGCGCTCGTAATTTCACCGAGAAATTACGCTATGTGAAATTGCGCGAAAGCGAGTTCATGGGACACAACAAGTAAGATGTCGAGATCGGTTAAACAGATATGTAATCGAACGACTTAGTTTAGTTGGAATTATTATAGCGTTTTGGATATTAAAAATAATTTTAAACTCCTTCATACTTCTAGAATGTTTTATTCTATTCTAAAAAATTCAATTGGAATGATAAATTTTTTTTTTCAAAGACAATTTTTACTCTGAATTCAACGATAAGCCTTTGTATAATTCTTTTCTTTATCAATAAAAATAAAAAATGTATTACGTTTATTATATATATTGATTTGTTCCCTTTAATCTGTCAGAGAATAAAATCAATTATAAAACCATCGGATTCGAAAGAAAGAACTTTATTCGAATAAGTAGTAGCATTAATGATAACAACAATAATGATATATGGATCAAATTAATTAAGATTATTAGAAAAATTTTTTTTTATTTTAAGTAAAACACTTATTTACCATGGCTTTATAAATAGTACTAATAAATGGAAATTAAAAATTAGATTCTTTCGATACAAAGTCGCCTCCTTTAGTGTTTGAAATCGTATCCAAGCTTTTTAAAAATTAAAAATTTACTATTAAAATAATAAAATTTTGAATACTAAGATTAACTAGCATTACATAGACACTATTGTAATAAGATGTATGTTCGAGTTTGTAGAAAAATTGATTGATATATAATCAGAAAGTGTTATTCATAATTTTGCGTTATATAAACTAACAAAAGATGACATTATCTGAAATCGAATCTAAAAAAAATTATTATAAATTTGTTTTTACACTTTTTCATAACCCTACTCTTTAAATAATAAATATAATAATAGATATATGTAATATTTATCAAAGTTATAAAAGCTCAATACGAAATATTGATTATTATTTATTCTTATAGTCTATATAGTAAAACATTATTTTACATTATTTAAATGCATAGAAATTTGTCAATGTTAATAATTTTATATTAACTAAAGACAATTTTATGTCTTTGAAATCATAATATTTTAAAGCAATGATTTTAATTTCTTCAAAATTTAACGGATTATTTGATTGTGCTATTATTATAATTAAAACAAACAAAAAAACAAAAACAAAAAAAGTCATTTTTTTAAGCTATATTTCTAACAATGTTATTATTAAATTTTTTATTATTATTTCTATATTTTGCCAGCTACAGTAAAACGCATTTGCTTCAATTGTAATATTATAATGCATATCTAATTAAAACATTATTATGATCACTAAAATGATTATAATAAACTATTAATTACAAATTTTAAGGATGTGCATCATGTTTTTAATTTTAAGCTACAATTATTCTAGAAAAACATTATCAGTTCTTGTATAATATGATGCGCCAGTGATCTGTGAACATTTGTTTGTGTGATTATTTTTAATTGGAATGAAAATTATCTTTCGAAACGTTGAACGTACTCATTGTTTGTAATGATCGTTTTGTAATTAATAAAATTAATCTAATACAATAAAGTGCCAATGCATATCTACAGTTGATTTATTTTGCTCTGTGAACACGATTTTCTCAAACCAATAAAACATTTAAAAGTTATGTAGATGATCTATTGATAATCGAAATATAATCATTAATTATCAAATGTATTAGTATTTTGTTAAAGGTATGTCTTGTAATTTCAAAATATGTTAAATAAAATAAAAAAACAGAAAGAACAATTAACAATTTATCTAGTATAATAATTTGCAATAGAAATGTGTATACTCTGAGGGAATAATTGCAATTTATTTATTAAGTTATATGTATGATTTGATTAAATTTGATTAAAATATGTTCGATAGTAATTCATAACATTAGTAATTATATATATATATATATATATATATATATATATATGTAATATTTTTATATATGTTTATTTTCTCTCTTTACTTTCTCCTGATGAGGAAACTGCTTTAGTTGTCGACGATGCACTAGTTTAGTTCGGATAAAAATCCAGTAGGTGCGTAGCCATCGAAAGGCGGTCAGTTTTTCTTAACATTTAATATAACAATTATACTTTACTGGGATTATTTTGCTGGCTTAGGAAATTAATAGATTTATACTAGATATGAGGTATACCGATTCCGATAAAATTTATTCGTAAGAATAAATATGTTATCTTGAAATATTATTTTTTATAAATAAATAATTTTTAATAATTACAGTGCCTTAGCAGACATATACGATGATTGAAAAACAATTTCTGAATATTGAATACATAATTTATGGGGCACACTTGATAATTATTTATGTGTATTAATTTTATTATTTAAATTTAGGTAAGCGGGTATAACCGTTACGACTGTCAAGTAATAAAATTTTAATTAAATTTTTTATTTTTATACAAATAGTCCTTTATAAATATGTACCGAAATTAATATTAAATTAGTTAATTATTAAATTTACTAGATTTTTATTAACATTTTTTATCGATACTTTATACTATAATTATAATTACATTATTCGATTGATTTGACGTCAGGAAGCGTCACTCTTATGAGCGCTGTGTCATACGTTATTTGTTGACGAATCAAAACTTTACGACTTTAAAAATTGTATTTTCCTTGATGTAGAATTTTTAAAAAGTTCCTTCAAGCTTAAATCATGATTTTTCTTCTTTTCGTAAATGTAGTAATATGTAATAATCAATCTTTCTTATTATTTATTTAATTCTTACTTAATAATTCTTACTTGATTTTTACTAATTTTCATATGCTCCTGCATGTATGCATATAGATATGCATATATATATATATATATATATATATGCATATATACCTATATATGCCTATGAGAGATTTATAAAATCTATGCATGATTGTGTGTATGTAGGCGCATGTGTCATTTAGCCGAGTGTATACAAGAAATAGAATCACAATAAATAATAATAATTAATATATATCACCCAATTTACTGAAATTGTTTCTGCAGTAGTAGAGTGGTGAGTTGTGGGTTCGTGGGTTCGTAGGTTTTTGGGTTCGTGGGTTCGTGGATCCGTGGGTTCTTGGCTTTATCGGTTCGTGGTTTCATAGATTGTGAACTGATTCTTTGTGAAGTGCTTGTGGAGATAGGCGACTGGATTTGGCATAGAATTTTGATTCACTCTTGAACTTTGGAATCAAGTTGGCTAGTGCAAAAGTGATGATGCCAGATGGTTGACGTAACTAACCTCGTATTTTGTTTAAGAAAAAAGTGGAGTTGCAAAATAAAAAGTAAATTGGAAAATGCCCCCAAAATGTAAATTCCAAGAAGGTATGGTGGATATGTTCTTAATGTATTTATGTCTTTGCGATATATGCTATTTGATTTATTTATAAAATATCCTGGATAAATAAATTAAATATAATACCTTGATAAAATGTTGAGAAATTTCTTTATTATTTTATGATTATAATACTTTCACAGGTGAAAAAGTTTTATGCTTCCATGGTCCTCTTATATACGAAGCCAAGTGTTTAAAATCATCATTTTCAAAAGATGAAAAGCAAATAAAATACTACATTCACTATGCCGGTTGGAATAAGAAGTATGTATTATGTTAAATGTCCCGATAAAAAAAAAAACATTAATTATTTTATAAAATTAATCGTTCATTCTAAACTTTAAAATGGTTAGAATTGATATAGATAAATATTATATTTATTTAAATATCAATTTTAGCTTATAACGTTAATATAATCAATAAAATTATTTTCAAATTTAGATTACTTTCATTTTGATTTGTATATTTATTTTCATCATTTTATGGTTTTATAATTAAGAATAAAAATTAAGAATTTATTATAATTTTTAATTGTATTACAGTTGGGATGAATGGGTACCCGAAGATAGAGTGTTAAAATTTAATGATACAAACGTTCAGAAACAGAAAGAAGTACAAAAAGTACATGAACAAGCAAGTAATAAACAAAATAGAAAAAGTGGTGGTACTTCAAAAGTTCAAGGTCGACGGAGCGAAGGCGGTCGCGACAAGGAAAAAGATAGCGATAGTAGAGCGAGTACACCTGTAGCACTTTTAGAAAGAACACCAAGTCGTGCCAGTAAGTCTGCTGGAATTGCACTTACACCAACGTCCTCAAGCGATTCCCCACTGGAGGTACCACGCAAGAAACGAGGGTATTTATAAATTAATTGAATTTCTTTAATTTTTATAATATAGGGGTTATGTAAGTGAAAAAAAATATATACACATATACAAATAATTATTTTAACAATTTGACATATTTTGTACTATTTATTTAATTTAATTTACTACTCCTATTCAGTCTGCATTTAATTTATTATCTATTCAATTTAATTTCTACTACTCTTTTTTTAGAAGCTAGCTTATATTTTTGTATGAAATATATTTATTTAATACTTTGAGTACTGACTTTGAGTAAGCATCTGAATTTACTGTTTAAATAAATATTTTAGGCGACCAGAGCCTTCGGATGATACAGAAGAATATAGCGTTAAAACAGAAATTAACATCACAATACCCGATGATTTAAAATATCATCTTATCGATGAGTGCGATGTTATAACAAAGCAAAAAAAATTGCCTTCCTTACCAATGAGTATTACGGTTGAAAAAGTTTTAGATGACTACATAGAAGCAATTGAAACAGGAAAAATGAATGGTTTAAATAAGTAAGGATTTAAATTTTATAATTTAGTTAATTTACAATAATTTAAAATAGTTAAATTTTCTAATGTATGTTCCAAAATAATTTAGAGAAAGTGCTATAGAAATTACAAAAGGAATTAGAGAGTATTTTAATGTTTCATTTAATTTACAACTTTTGTATGGCTGGGAAAGACCACAATTTGAAGAAATGATTCCAGAAGATTCTGATATTTTACCAAGTCACTTATATGGTCCTTACTATTTATTACGACTATTTGGTATGTATTTATGAAAAGATATATGCTCTCTATTAATTTTATTATATAGAAATATAATTTAACATTAATTGATTTAATTATATTTTTAGTTAAACTTGGAGATATGCTATCTTATACAATGTTGGATGAGAAAAGTACGCAACTATTATTAATGCATTTCCACCATTTTCTACAATATTTACAAAATAATAGTGCAAGTTTATTTGATTTGCATGATTATAAAGATCCTTTACCAGATTATCATCGAAAATTTGTAAAATAGATGTGTGATAACGTGGAGATTTTAATTTAGCATTTTATGTGCAAAGACTGTTAACATTATCGGATAAACAATGTTTTTTTTCTTGTTCTTATATAGAAAACTATTACTTTTATATTTAGCACCTATAGATTTTTATGTACATATATATAAATTTATATATAAGTTTATATACATACATACGCGCATGCGTACATACACGCATACAATACATACACATATGCACGCATGCATACATACGTACACACATGCATACCTGCATACATACATACGTACATACATACATACATGCATGCATCCATGCATACATACATACATACGTGCATTTATTAATATTGTCTGTATCTATGATGTAAGAAATATTTTCCCTGAATTAGAATTCTTCAACAAATATATAACAACTAATATTAAATGAGTAACCGATTTTGACAAGTTTCCTTCAGATAGTGCTGTTCTTGAACATTCATTGCAATATTTTATAATTTCAAATCCTTCATTTGCTCCTTATATTTTTTTGTATCGAAGATTTTGAGATATTTATTTAAAAAAAAAAATTATAAATATGTCTCGTCTTTTATCATAATGTTAAATTTTTATTTCATTTATTTACATTGGCTAATTTGTACTTGAAGGAAAAAGAAGATAAAGTAGCGTTGATCATTGGAGAGTAAATTTACAAATAAAAAATGATGATATATATTTTACATATATTTTATATTACTTATTATTAGAGTTATTTCGATGCTTAAATTTACATTTATCTGCTACTTTTTCTAATGAAACTCAGTAGTCCATAATTTTTCTACAAAAATTTACTTATACTTATGGACTGCTACAAAATTTTACTTGGATTGCGTTTATTGTATAATCAGTAATTTATTTATAACAAAAGAACGATTATCCTTATATTTGTGAAACAACCTAATTAGATATAATTATATACGATTTATTTTCATTCGCAATATTTACATAATATTTAGTTCGTAGACGTGTATCTTAGAATAAAAAAATTTTCATTTTTAAAGCTTCCTAATGGATGAAGATATAAAATTATAATTAAAATTTTTTTATGTTATTAATAATACGATTAATTAATAAAAAAAATGTTTATATCAAGGTATTTATATAAAATAATTACGCTGAATATTCTTTAATTTTAAAGAATAATACTATAATTTCTTTATATAAGAGAAAGTGCATTGTAAATTATTGTGATTTATTATTATTTAATAAAAATCAGAATTCTTTGAATTATGTAATCCTTATTTTTATTATATATGATTTAAATGAGCTTAAAGTTAATAGTATTAAGTATATGGCTTCTATTTTCCTTTGCAATTGTCCACTTATTGATCTTGTTGCTTACAACGTACTTGAGTGATGATATCTCTAATCTTGTCCAGATTTTCTATTCTTTTGTTTTAACTATATGTACATCTATGAAGAAAATGTTTACATTAGAAATACCTGACCAAATTATCTAATTTTATTACTCATTATATTCAATTAAAATGTATTTGAATGATGCTTTGCAATTTGCAAATAATAAAATATACTTTTCCTATTTATTGGAAAAACAAAACAAAACAAAAAAATAGTTTAATTTTCCTTATAACTTGTATATTCATATAATATTAATATAATTAATGGATATAATTATATTGATATAATTACATTCTTTATTTCAAATTTTAATTATTATATGAAATTAAATGTTTCGAGTGAAAAATAGAAATTTTTTTTTTTTTAATTTTTTCTTTTGCCTCAAGCATTTCTACAAAGAACGTATTCATTTATGTAATTTTGAAAATATCCAAATATTAATTAATAAAAAATATAAAGTTAATAATAAATATCAAGTTAATAATTAGGTGAGATCTATTAATAATCTTTGCATCAGTCTATTTTAGTAAATATTTTAATTTAAAGATAATTTTGATAAGTAATTTTAATTAATACTTAAATAATAGTGTTTATCAAAAAATTTGTTAAATATTTTATTACAAAGTTTCAATCGTAAACTGAAAATATCGATGATAGTTTTCTATGATAATTATTTAAATAGTTTCTATTAAGACTTTCTAAATTAAACAGCTAAGACTGTTCTGTATAGTGAAATAAATTTTAATTTGCAAGTCACAAAAAGTGCCATAAATCCAATGCATATAAAATGTAATTAGGGACTGGAATCACTTTTGAGGTAAGAAATTACGCATTCAATGAATTTATAAACCGAATGGTAAGGAAACAATCAAATGCCTTGAAGTTGCAATATTGAGGATATTGGTGAATCCAACTAACAAATGACTCGCAATTTTATAAGTTATATAAATATTGCCTACTAATTAATTTACTTTACGGTTCAAGAATGTTTATTTCACTTTAAGAAAGTTTGATCCACAGTGTTGTTTTATCACAGTTAATAAAACCACTTTACAATGAAAGCAATTAAATACACATTCTTCGAGGTACAATACGTTAATTATTTTTTTAATCTTCAAATAAATTAAAGTTTTTGGTAAGCACTGTAAAAAGCTAAAAATATTTAATATTAAAGTTCAAATAATCTTTTAATGGCTTGCAACTACTAATAATTATCGTGTAAATTTTTAATTATTTTATTGTGTATACATCAACTACTTATCTTTAATTGCATGTGTTTATCTGTACAAAATTTTTAATAATCATTCGCAAATGTTTTTTCAATTTTAAATTTATAATATATATATATATATATATATATATATATATATATATATAATATATTACCCGATAGTATAATAAACAAATGACACATTGTTTTGATAGAAATAAAAATAAACAAGGCAATTTGTTGATATTTTTAATTTCTAAAATCTTTACTTTATATTTTACTTCACGAAATGAAATAATTAACGAAGTTTAATTATCGTTCTAATATCTGACGAAATATATGTCTCTCTAATGAATAATTTTCTAATTAATACCTGTTTTTATATATTAACTAAACTTGCTTTATTTATATTTTCAGAGAGTACGTTTCGCATTTATAATAATGATATAGTTTTGTAAATGATTTATTTCCAAATGATTTATTGATTAATAACCGGAATCATTATCGATTATTAATTATTAATTATTTTTTACTAAAAAATATGATTGCAGTAAATGTAATTTTTTTTATAATTTTCTCTATTGTTATTTGAATTTATATTGATTAATGATGAATTAAGATTTATTTACAATTTTATATATATTATTAATACTTTAATCGTAATAATAGTCGTTAATTCATTATTAATACTAGTACAATATAATAAAAGTTTCTTTCACTGTACTCTTTTTTTTTTTTTTTTTTTTTTTTTTTTTTTTTTTTTTTTTTTTTTTTTTAAATAAATTGAAGTTATCCGAGTATCATATTAAATGACATATAATATTAATATAATTTCCTGATTTATTCTTTTGCACGAGTCCAACAATTCACTTCGGTTCTAAATTTTTAATGTCACTTTATCGAGATAATCCTGGATCACTAACGATGAATATTCTATCTTTATTTCTATTTTTTTTCTTATTTTTATTCTTTATTTATTTATTTTTTTATTCTTTATTTATTCTTTTGATTTAACTAACTTTTTGGCACTCTCAACTAATTTAAAACTCAATACATTTTCATTCTTTTAATAGAATCTTATAAGTTTTTCAAATTAACACATAGTTACCACTTAATTATATTATTGTTCAGGATTAAAATAAATTTTTATATAAATTTGAAACAATATACAGCAATAAATAATCTGTAATATATTTTATTTCTTAATTATAATGTTACATTTCATACGAATCTCTCTAGATTACGAAAAAAGTAACGATAAATCAATACAGATTTGTATGTAGTCAATTCAATTGTTTTTATTACATAATTTAAGTCTATTTGAAAGGTTCGTTTAAATAATATTGTTAAAAAAAAAAAAAAAAAAAAAAAGTTTTCAGTATTAGTCTGTAATGCAAAGATAAACATTAAAAGATTAATAAAACGTATGCTATTAAGGTATTCAAATAAGCTTTCAAAGTGGAACTATTTTATCGGAAAATATTAATTAAATATTCTTCTAAAATACTTTAATAACAATTATTTAGGCAAATATTTTTATTACAAAATGTAAAAAAAAAACAATTTATATTTATGGATTCATAATGAAATTTCGGCTTTTCAATTAGTTCAAGAGATTTATCAGACAGTTCAATATCAAATAATTGCCCTAAAAAATTCTTTCATCTCTTTTGTATAAATCATGGCTCATTGTTGTATATATAATATATAATAGTAATAATAATCCTAATTTATCTACTACAGTATTGGAATAAGAGGAATTTTAGTTATTTTATTAGGGCGATAAATGATAAATTTATTATCACAAAAAGGATCTATTAATTTAATGTAAATAATGAAAATGTACGTTTTTTAATTTTCATTGACGCACGAAACGTCTCACAATTCTTGTAAAGGAATTACGCATATTTTTTTTTTTTTAATAATTTGATTTTCGCTTATTTATAATTATAGACGTTAGACTAATATACTTTTTAAAAACGTCCAAATTTTAGTCGGCGATGTTAATTATTTTTTACTTTATGGTACTAGAAAATTGTTACGTATATCATTTATTGTTATTTATACTGCTATTTATATCATATGTAGAATGAAATATTCGTTATCATTGTGACATTTAGATTTTAAATTCTAAATATGCATATTATTATTCATTTAGTATTAGTCCCGTTTAAAATAGTTTAGTATAATTTAAGAAAATCTGACGTATATTATTAAATATAAATAGTAGCACATTTGACCTAGAATGTATTTAGTTTCCAGAAGTAATATAAGAACACAACGCCATAAATTCAACTATTTTTATTACAAAAAATTGATTATATTAAAGTATGATTAATCTTATTAATAGTAGTTAATACTATTAAATTTTCATCATTTTGGTATCTTAAAAGTTACAACTATTTATAGCTTTATAATGGATTATTAAAGATGATATGAATTTTTATCTTTGAGAAATTAATATCAAAAAGCTAATTTTACTATAATTTATTTTAGTAAATTTCTAAATCTTATTGATTATTTAAAAATGTAATTAATTTTGTTTGTAAAATAATAATGTCTTGTACAAATGACTTTAACATTAATCTATGCATTCCCAAAGTAGATATATATATATATATATATATATATTTTTTTTACTAATAGTAATCAATTTTGCAATTTTGTTGTTGTTATTTTTCATTTGTTTAACAACATTGTATCCAAGAACATGCAATTCAAATAAGAAAATAAAAGCATTTGGGAGAAATTTTTATTTGCTAAATACAAAAAAAAAGGTTTTTCAAATATTCGAACACGTCTGAAAATGTTTAATTTCTAAATTATCGACGAAATTTTATTTAATCGTGTATTGAAAATGTTATCAAATCAATCAAACGACATTTATTTAAACTTTTAATTATCGCACCGACAAGAATATATAATTTGATATATGATTATTTATTAAATTTTGTTATTAAAAATATTTTTACATTAGTTTATTGCAAAAATATACATAATATCGTATACATTTATTTTGAATTTATTTGAAAATATTCGTATTTCATGTGCTTGTATTAAGAAATATCACGTAGTCTTCAATTGCTTAAGAAAAACATTGAAATGAAAATCGACTACTTTATCAAGTGATTTTTATTACTTTTTATAATAGTTTTTTTAATGCGCGTCAAAAATATTTTACACACGCTCAAGAATATATTGTTAAATGAATTTTTAAAAGGCTTTGCTCGAGCGTTAAAATATAGTTATTTAAGTAATCATCAGTTCGAAATTTTATTTGGCATAATGCCTTATGTAAATATTTAATCCATCATCTTATTAATATTGTAGTAAAAAAAATTTTTTTCTTTTATAATATTTCTAAATTTTATATTAATATGCTAGTTATATTACTAATAATTTAAAATTGCCTAAAATTTATTTGTTTATTATTAAATAATAGCTGAATTTTTTAATAAACGGCCGATTATCAATCATTACGTAAATTTAAGCAAATTCACATACCTACAAAATACATACATTACAGTTTTATTTACTCTTTGCTCAAAATAAATAATATTTTTAATCACACTTTATATACAAGTGCGGCTGTTGTAAAATTCATTTACCAAATAAAGTTAATGTTTATCGTGTTGCAGCGCAAGTTTATTTTCGCAAACTCGCGTATTAAAGGCTAATATTTGAATTTGTTGAGAATTATATTTATACGCATAAAATTGTGAAATGTAAATTAATGTTAAGTAACGTTAAACTCAATATAAAATATAATAATAAGGTACAACATTAATTTCGAGTCTCGGAAAAAAAAATAAAATAAAATAAAATAAACAAATACACCAGATAATGGTGTGTTATATTCATTTTTGGCTAAATTGTTAATATAATAATAACTTTATTAGGATTTAATGCAAATTTAAATAGTTACTTACAACGTTGCCAAGGTAGTCTAATATAACAGGCAATATTGCGGAAAAGGAAAGCTACCAAGTGTATTTTCATTAAATGTAAGGAGGAAAATTTCAGGTATATGTAAGAGAGGCACGCGTTGAGTTGACGAATTAGTAGAGTGTATACTTTGGTAGTGTATTCATCGAGCTACAAACATCGAGTCTGCAAGCGTATGTAGAGTGTGAAAGCAATAGTGCGTCGGGGTGAAGGTGCGAGGGAGGGCATGTGCGAGGGCGGGAGGGAGAAAGAGAGAGAGAGAGAGAGAGAGAGAGAGAGAGCGAATCAGAGTCAGAGTCGTAGTCGGAGTGAGTAGACTTAGTTGGGGGGACTCTCGCTAGTGTTAACGACTACTGTACAATCGGCGCGTGTTCGCCGCGACGTCGCCGTCGTCGCCGTCGTTGTTGTTCTTATCGTTGATATCGTCCTCGTCGTCGTCGTCGTCGCGGTCGTCGCGGTCGTCGTCGTCGTCGTCGTCGTCGTCGTCGTCGTCGTCGTCGTCGTCGCCGTCGACGCTGTCATTGTCATTGTCGCGAGAGTGACAAAGAGGTAGGGATAGGTAAGTGGAGTTAAGGTCGTTTTTGTCACCGCCACCGCCGTCGTCATCATCGTCATCGACCCTCCTCCACGAGAGGAGAGCTTAGCCGAAACCGCCAACGTGTAGTTTTTCCGCGAATGCGCGCCACGGACGTCGCATAAAGTTCTCAAAGTTAGGCGCCGATTGCTTAAAAAACAAAATAAGGAAAACAAAAGGAACATGGCGGATGTCGAGCTGAACATCGACAACCTGATACAGAGGCTGTTGGAAGGTACGTGAATGTATCGCTTCCCAAGTGCCTCGTGAGTGTACGTGTACACGCGCAAATCTGTGCGACCTCGCGCGTCGCAAAAATCCGAATCGCCGAGGGCGAAGGGGCAAAGGGAGAAATAGAACCTTCGCCGAGGCCTCGAAAATATCGTCGCCCCAATGGCTACCTTCGCTCTCTTGCCCCTTTTACGCTCTTACTCAAGTTACTTTCATCCTTTCCTAGCTGCTTCTTTCTTTTTACACCTCATTATCATCAGGATTATTTAATGCAAATTAATGTTCCTGTAATTGGTTCGGAAATTGTCACGTTGAGGTCTTTTTTTTTCCATTTCCAAGTCAGGACGTCTTTATATTATCGAAGGTTAAAACGAGCGTAAAAGAGGCTCTGTCTGCGCGATATTTCCTCTCCTTGCGCGCTTTTTTTCTTCCGTATTTTATTCTCTGATTATGTTAGTATTTATATTTTTGTTTATCGTTCAAACGTTAGAAAATATTTTGAAGAGTTTTTTCTACATTTTTTCATTATTTTTATTGTTAATCTTAAGAGGCATTGTTTCGAATTTTAAAGTTTTTATTTTTTCTACATTTACGTTACAATTAAGAGAACACTTTAGTATTATTATTTGACGTATTCATATTAGCACAATGTTTCTCGGATTTTCTTTTAATATTAGAAATATAAATGACTATATGTCAGCGCGAGTGAGTGAGTGAGCGAGTGAGCTAGAGCGCGTGTGCGCGTGTGTTTGTATGTTTGCGCTTGTGTGTTTAAATTCAATAGAGAATTATTACATTTTGTGATGGATCAATACGGAGCAAAATAGTCTTTGATTCTCTTATTAAAGAGTTTTATATTATAATTACAGAACTGTTTTTATAAAATCTTTATCGTAATTTTAACTTTTTTAATTATTTAAGCTCGTAAACAATAGTATTCTATAAATATTTTAAATGCATTTATTCTATTATTATTAAGGATGAGATAAATTTGTAAGCAATAGGTTTATTAATTATTTATACCAAACATATGACTTATTTAATAGTTTTGTGATGAAGTATCTTTTTTCTACTTGTTGCACAGTTTTAATTTAATTATTATATAACCGCATTTAGTTTCTATACATAATTTTAATTTTCATAATAATTGATAATAATAAATAGTTAGGCATGATAAACAATGATCAGCAATTAAGCTGTTAACTTGAGTATTTTTATAATACATAATAATATGATATTAAAAGTCTTAACATAACAATTGTACATGATAAAATTGAAAATTAGACATTATATTGTGATATAATTACAAAAATACAAATAAAGCTGCTATGATACATATGATCGTTTATTTCAATATTTAAATATTAAAAGTTTATAAATATTAAATATTTATCAATTCTTATAATTAAGAATACATTGATTGGTTATATTTTCATAATGCACAATTTTAATTTTAAATCTTTATCCCTAATGAAATATAAAATTATTTTCTGAAATTCATTGAGCATTGATTTTTCATCTTCAATCATATTTTGAATATTTTCTGTTGCTTATTTTGTTATAAAACAAAAACATTCTTTCTGTTCTGTTCTTTTTCTTATGGCACTTATGTGGAACATTTATGCCGTAAAGCATACCAGACCCAGAAAGAAAATCAACAAGTTCAGGTTCAGACCCAGAAGAAAGCCAAGCTTAAAGATATTTTTTCTTCAGACTTTGTCGGTATGCAATATTAAGGAAACGTCTCCAATGTAGCTCTTTATTTAGATGCGCTATATATCCTTGTACCTTATATACAATTTCATTATTTTTTATGCATGCACTTTGTTTCCAATTGATTAATTTATCGATTGATTAAGCTTCCAATGTAAGCTACAATGATTATTCCTTCAGCACTCAGCAGTAATTTACATTTTCATGTTTGCATATATTATTTTTTTCAACCTGTATTTTTAGTAACATTTATGGAATACAGTATACCTTAATAAAAAAATTTTATGCGTAGTACACAGAATAATATTTTGTTTATTGTTTTATAGATCAAACAGAAAATTGAATAAATTCGTAGTCGACTTAATCTTAAAAATAAAATTAAATATATATTTGCTGAAGTTAAAGTAAATACTTAAATTATATTGTTCTAAATTATTATCATAATATTATAGAATAAATTGAAATTATATTAAACAAAATTATTTAAAATATTGTTTAAAATTTTAAATTCAAAATAATATGTAACTTACACTAATGAATATTATTATATTTAGCATATTTTTTAATTAATTTATTATGTATAATTAAGTTATTCATCTTAAATCGTAAACATTTTAACCTTAATAATTGTTACTGTATTCTTTTTGAAAAATTTTTGCTTCGCTCAATAATTAAATCTGTTTGGCATATTTATTGTATAACAATTCTGTTCATTCATTGTATAAAATTTCTATTTATAAATAATAGGAATTTGTTATAAAAATTATTATTAAAAAAACTGATCAATTAGAAATTTGACTATGAAATTTCAGTTATATTCACAAACTGAAATGTCTTTCTAGAATTATTTGCTACCAAATCAGCCTTGGTGATACTGATTTTTCCAATAGCCATTGTGATAGCAATTCAAGCGTGTAGCGAAGTCCTTTATGGTTGCTAGTTAACTATAAATAAACGATGGTATCTACAAACAAAGAATCTTGTGCATTTTTGCACCTTGTAAAAATGATTATTTAGTTGTGGTAGAACTAATATATTATAGTTGTATTTGAAAAGAAATATATCTTAAATGCGAATTTGAATTTAAAATATGTATACCAATAATTCCCAATAACTCCTTGATATATATTAGAGTATTTTGTAGAGTGATTTTCCCATTGTTTCGGAGGTAAAGTTATTAAAGAATAGGCATCCTAATTAACTAAGTTATAAATCATCTTTTATAATTCTGCATTACTTATATATTACTAATATAATTAACTAATATTATTTTTTTTTATTTATATTTACTAAATTTACTAATTTAAATAATTTATAAGAAAAAGTTTGTCAATATATACTTAATGCATAGTTTTTCCAAAGTATAATCAGCTAAATATATGATAAAATTAATTTCATTTTATTTCATCTTTAAAGTACAGAAAGATTTTGAATATTTGGTTAAGTAATGCTTATTCTATAAAGTAAAATATTTCTGTATAATTAATCCTTGGAGTGTTTGATTTTGTGTTCAACTCAATTCTCATTAGCTTATGATTAACTAATTTATATTTCTTGTGCAGTAAGAGGATGCCGACCTGGAAAATCTGTAATAATGACAGAGGCTGAAGTTCGAGGTCTCTGTCTAAAGTCTCGTGAAATTTTTCTGCAACAGCCTATTCTTTTGGAGCTTGAAGCACCTCTAAAGATATGCGGAGATATACATGGGCAATACACCGACTTACTACGGCTGTTTGAGTATGGAGGTTTCCCACCAGAAGCAAATTATTTATTTTTAGGCGATTACGTTGACAGAGGCAAGCAATCATTAGAGACAATATGTTTGTTACTTGCATACAAGATTAAATATCCAGAAAATTTTTTTCTGCTAAGAGGAAATCACGAGTGTGCAAGTATAAACAGGATATACGGCTTTTATGACGAGTGCAAACGCAGGTATAATATCAAATTATGGAAGACCTTCACAGACTGTTTTAATTGTTTACCAATTGCTGCTATCATAGATGAGAAAATATTTTGTTGTCACGGCGGACTCAGTCCTGATCTCCAGGTAATTACGATAATTTATACAGGTTCATTTTTAGGATCATTCAGTAAATATTAGACATTTTATATTGAGATTGACATAAAAATTTATATTTTTAAATAATGTAAAAAAATTACAATTGCCTATTTTGTAATTTTTAAACTTATAATGATGATATATTTTTATAAAGAGTGAATGAATTTTTGTTCTGCATTCGCGTTATAATCGTTTATTTTCTAATTTAAACTTATTTTTTATAAAGATTTAATATTTTTGTATTCATATTTTAAATATTTGGTATTAGGGGATGGAACAGATTAAACGAATCATGCGCCCAACAGATGTACCTGATACTGGTCTTCTCTGTGACTTATTATGGTCAGATCCTGATAAAGAAGTCCAGGTGCGTTAAAATAAATACATATTTAAATATAATTTAAAAACCATTTTCATTACAAGTTTTTTTTATTTATTATTATTATTTTTTATGTCGTAAGCATTATTAACTTTTTAGAATCGAATTTTTTTCTCAAGTACATTTTTCATTCTTCTTAAGAGAAAATGTTCATATTTCTTATTAAAACCGTACTTTTATATTGAGCATGTATAATCGTAACTTCAATAAAGAGTTATTTAATTTTAATTCAAAGCATATGCGTATACATGCGCGCACGTGTGATTATTAAAAGCAAAAATAATGTGTAGGGCTGGGGAGAGAACGACAGAGGAGTTTCCTTCACTTTCGGACCAGATGTGGTATCAAAGTTCCTTAATCGTCACGATATGGACTTGATTTGCCGGGCGCATCAAGTCGTCGAAGACGGTTACGAGTTCTTCGCAAAACGGCAACTCGTCACACTTTTTTCTGCACCCAACTATTGCGGTGAATTTGACAATGCTGGTGGAATGATGAGTGTCGATGAAACTCTCATGTGTAGTTTTCAGGTAAGATATTTGCCTAACTTCAAGGTTTTCAGAATGATTCTAATTATAAGTGGCACAAATTTTCGTAGTTCTATAAATAAGATGACTTCTAACATTGAAATTTAGCAGACTGATTCCAGATTCGTTGCCTTTCTTTAACCGTTTCTTTTCTTTTCAACTATTGATTAAAGTATTAATAATGATTATATATCATTTTTATAAATTGGGTTTAGTTTTATTAATCGCAATAATTTGCTCGATCCATAAAGGAATCAATATTTGAGTCAATTAAACAGTGAATAATAACGTATAAAATTATGTTGGGTTAAGAAAGAAAGAAAATAATTTTAATAACATGATGGGACACTTTTATTATAACTATTACATTTAAAATGTGTAATTTCATTCAACTTATTATTGTTTAAAAAAAATAATTTCTAAAACTTTTTACCATAATATGTAATTTTGTAATGTATATATAATGTACATAATTATAGAAACTTGAAAATCAATTTCTTCATAGTAAATGAGACATTTTTAAAAATTATTTTTCGGTAATAAAGGAATAAAATACTTTTGTAATTTAAGCTCATGTTTAAAACAAACAGCGCATGATTATATTTTATACATTTAGTCTTTTAAAAATATTTAAAATTTCTGTAATATAGTTTATATTAAAATTTCTTTTTTTGTAAGGGTTTTGCTTTAAATTTCGACAAGTATTTTAGATAAAATATAACGATTATATAGAAGCTCAGAAAGTGGAAAAACATTGATTTAAAATTTCATAGGCAGATTATTAATCATTATTAAATAATGATTATAATTATTGTTATAATGGAATTTAAAGTGTTATAATTAAATATCATAAGAATCAATTTAAGAAATAAGCGTATAAAATGTTTTGTTAAAATTATAATAATTAAGAGGCTTTCATTTATGTATTTTAAAGTGGATGAATTGACTATAGTGAACAAGATTAGAGATTCATTGGTCGCATGAATTATTTAAAAATCATTTTAAGAAATTGAATAAAATCTTGTTAAAATTGATGAGCACAATGTTTTATAAGAGACTTAATATTAAAAATGATTTACAGATTCTGAAACCGTCTGAAAAGAAAGCTAAATACCAATATGGTGGTATGAACGCTGGACAGACAGGCAGTCGTCCATCAACGCCACAAAGAAATCCAGCAAAGAAAAAATGACCACCCACGGCTGAACCTGCATAGCCACAAACACTGGCGTTCTAAAACAGGTGAACTTGAACTGAAGTTGGGTTTATTTTTACATTATTGATTTTTATATCAGTTTATATATATATAATATATATATTTGTGCAGTTTTACTAGAGTCTTATTTCCCATAGCTTTTAAGTTATTGTTTAAGAAAACTAGATTTTGAAAAATGAGAAATTTTTAATAAACTAAAATATCGGAACATTTATTCTTTTTATATATATAAATTTTATTATTAATCATTAATATTTAAAAATTAACTTAAAAAGTTCATATCGATTAATTTATATTTTTTTTTCAGTTTCAGGACGTCACGCTACCAAATTAAACACTGATTCGTGAAGCTTGAAGTATAAAAAATCTATCCCTTCCTTAATTGCATCTTATTGATTAAAACGATGTTGTGGGCAATCTGATTTTCCTAATTTATAGGAAAGTAATTACTTAGGTATGACTGTGAATCTACAAAATTGTAACATGATTTGTCCATAACATAGATTATTCTTTGCAAAGTTAGTCTTTAATGGCATTTTTTAAAGATTTTTTGTTCTATTATTTATTGCATATTATTAAAGTTATTATAATTAGCATTAGTAATTATCAGATTGCAAGGAAATCAGTTATTATTAAGTACTTGAAAGCCATACATGGATACACACTTTATACACACCAATACACAATACACAAACTTATATGAATACAAACATATAAATTTCGAGATTTATTATTTTTCTACAATTTTCATTTATTTTATTTAAATTAATTGAAAATTTTGGTTAATAATTAAGTAAATAAATAAATAAATAAAAATATATAAAACACAAATAAACAGAAAAGTACATATGTGTGTGTGTGTGTGCGCGCGCGTGCGTGCGTGTGTGTGTGTCGGTGCGCGCGCGCGCGTGTCTATTTACATCTTCTCTACATAACCAAACACATAAAATATGTGTGTATATATATTGTGAAATTTATGAGTTAATTGATACAAATTATTCTTGTAATTGTACAACACAATATCAGTTACGAATCCAAATACACCCATGATAAAATTATCATTGATGTGACGAATATCCAATACTATAGTTGAATCATTGTTTGCTATTGTATAGTCTACAGATACTATTGCTACACATTTCCTTGAATTTAGAGACAGTTTGAGATGTAGTAGTTATCTCAAATGAGAACAGTGTACATTAATAACTGGCATTCGTTCAGCGATAACGACGAAGTTGGCTCCAATCAGAATGTATTTATAAATGCGATGAAGTACGAAACAACAAGGATTTTATTTTCTTGAAATCTTAAAAACTTTTAACAATTGGAATTTTTTGATAATTCGAGCAATTTTGACGTCGTATAACATAATAGAATAAAAACAAATGAATTCTAGGTGTAGGCTCAGAAGCATTAGTGGATTCGTATTTCTTAATAATTTATCAGAATTCGAAAGAGTACTATATCTAATGTGCGCATTAACTTACCATTTTCGGTCGTCATCAACTTTGCTGAATCGACATTACCTAATAAAGGATTGAGCTCTTGATTATTAACATGTAACAATATATTTCTTATTGTATGTATGGAGAAATATTTACTTTGTAAGTAATATATGTGATATCAATTACTGGATCAAGAAAATTAATAAAAATACCAGTTGAGTGCTATTACATTTTATGCCATGATTGTATAAAATATAATTATTGTAATGGTATTACCATCAGTGTTATATATGATATATATATATATATATATATATATATATATATATATATATATATATATATATATATATGTTGGACAGAGCACTATAATTATTGTGAGTACTAATATTTACTTAGTAATACTGGTTAGTATTTGTTCTTTATTTTTCTAATATGTATTTTGATTTAAATTTCTTATTATTTATAATAATCAGGCCAACAACACAATATTTATGGCGAATGGGATTAGATAATCCCTTAATTAGTTTTAAAGTATACTCACACAATTGATAATAAATTATGAAAATGAAAAAAAAAGAATTTAAATATTAACTTTAAACTGATGGAATTGAGTTGCGAGGTAGTAATCATCACACCAAGGAAGTTCAATTTCTACATTGTTTTTATTTTAATTTTTTGCTGTTTAATCACATCAATGATGGATTTTTTCTTAGATTCCTTTAATATTAACTATCAACAATATAATTTTATTTACAAATAATTGTCCGACTTACTAGCCTGTGAAATTTTTTCTTTCCTAGATACTTCCTCGTTCTTCCAATTTTTTATTTCCTGACACGAGATTTTAAATTTAAAAGAATGTTGATAGTGGTACTGTTGATAATTATTACTATCTCACTAGAGAAAACTGGAATCTTCAATACTTCAAAAATCAATTTATACATAATATACGTTTATCGATTTTTACATTATATATGTATATATATATATATATATATATATATATATATATATATATAATACACGCACGCACGCACGCACGCTCGCACGCACGCACACACACACAGACACACACACCCCTCGCACGCATATATATATATATGGATGGATCAGCTCGCGATAAAATCAATTATGAATACATATTATGAAAACTTTCATTTACGTATTATGTAAATTGCCCGACTTTCAACCGACGTCGTGAATATAGTTTGTGAGATTAAAAGGATTTTTGAAATATTGAAATTTTTATGTGACGTATAGTAGTGATCGCTTTCTGTCAAAAAGATGTAAATTTTTGATTGGTGGCATTCCTATCATGAAAACAAAAATAGGTAGATAAATAGATTGATAATATAAAAATGCATTATTGTCAGGGGACGTGAGCATTACAATCCATTAAAAACAATTTCCGTTACTATACTTACTATTATAAGGAATATATTGTAATTATATTTAACAAGTCTTCCCTCATTCTAAAACTTTTTAAATTAGCATAAAACTGCACTGTAATAAATAATTTTCAAAGCAATTATGTTTTTATATTTCTAAGTAATAAAATATGTTTTTCTTTTCAATCATTTTTCATTTTAATATAAGTTTTTAAATATGTGTATATGTCAAGTATAATATTTTTCATATACGTGTTATATTGTTGTATAATGTTATAAAATTATACTTAACAATATTAAAGAGCATCCAAGATTATTGATTTTCGCAATAAAAGTAATAGCTATAGCAATTGTTACATGATTTAAATTTTTTATAAATGTAATGCTAAAATTTAGATAGAAAAATTAATATATATTTGTTGTATGTAAAATTTTGAGTTTTTACAGGTAAATCTATTTAATTGTGCGGATTTGTATTGTGCCTTGTCCCCTGATGTGATTGATGTTAATTTTCATTCGATTTATAATTTATAAAATTCAATAATTGCAGAGAACTATAGAGAAAGACGCAGCGAGTGAGCAAATAAATAAATAAAGAAATTTATTAAATAAATAAATAAAAAAAAATAGAGAGAGAGAGAGAGAGAGAGAGAGAGAGAGAAAGAGGGAGAGGGAGAAATAAGTGAAAATTAAAAAGCGAAAAATAGGGAATCAGTATTTTTTTAAATATAAACTGTGTATGCTATTGATTGTCCCATAAGCTTTTGTAGTTTACATCGTTATATATTATACTATGCGTAGCAGAAATATAGTTTTTAGTAAAGGGATTTCGAAATAATTTGTGAAATGTGTGACAAAAGTTAGAAAACATCGTAATAGAAAGAATGTTATAGTCTGCATAAATTGCGAAAATTAAAGACGAATATAAATAATAAAACTGTCAGACCACAAAACTCCTTTTGCATTTGTAACGTCTTAGTTAAAAAAAATTGTAAGTATTTATTCTATTTTTACGAGGAAATATCCTCGATTTATATTACATTTTATCAATACTGAATTTATATACATGCAGATACACACATACAGTTTTGAGAGCCGAGTTTATTTTAAATTTAGAAGAAAAAATCGCTTATTGTTTCTAGTAACGTTATTATTGTAACTGATTTTGCTAGTGACATTCGTTTTTATGATTATTATAATTGACATTTCGTCGAATATGTAAAAGTTGACTATTTGCTTTTATCAATTGAATTTCAATATGCTTTTGATAATTTTTATCAATCTATATACTAAAGAAAGATAAGTATTTTTATTTGAATTGTATTTTATAATTTAGTAAAGTATCGCTATTAAAAATTATTTGTAGTGCATTTGTTAATCTGTGAAAGTGCAATCATATTTGTTATGTTCATTTTTATGACGTATACGTATTGAAGAAAAATGAATATTTTTTTATCAAAATAGCTCATTTTTTTTTTGTTTGTCGAGATTCTAAGGATAACCCCGAAATTATATTTTTATTTTAAAAGGAATAAAAGTTAATTCAATGAGGAATATGGCATTAAAAGAAAGAAAGCGTGGCTGAGAGCGAAGAAGAGTGAAGCAAATGAACTCGCATTGGCGAGCCTGTGGAGAAAGATAATTTTATGTTGAGAAAACATGAAAATATAAACTTACCGCGTGAACTTGAAGTGCGTAGTTATATTTGTAAATGATGCGCTTGTTGTGATTCGACCAAAAAATCTAATCTTTGTAGCTTTAGGATTAAGACTTAAGGATTGCGTGGACGTAGTAAAATGTGGAAAGAAAGCATGCATAAGAGCGATATTCGAATCCCAGCAACCACATCATATAAAAGTCGATCATAGATATCCTAAAGATATACATCTTTGAGATAAAAATTTAATAAACGTGCATATTGTTGTGCAATTTCGTGTTTATCTATTTGCAAATCTTGATTATTATTATGTTTCAGTTTATTGAAAGATAAATCTTATATTTTCCTTAATACATTTATTTATTAGGAAATATCTCTTCTGATTCTCATTTTATTAATTTTTAAGTAATTATTTTTCTTTATAAACTGGTTATATATATATATATATATATATATATTGAAATTTCAATTAATTGATATTAATCCAAGCCTGGGCATTGATTAATATTGGCAGATAAGTATTAGTAGATATTAATTCTGTTCATAATATTTAAAATCATTAGTAAAGATATTTTTCCTGTTTTTTTTTCTTCTTTTTAATCTTCTTAAACATAGACGAATTCAATTAATTATTATAAAATACTGTTTGTGGCAAATTTAATTAAATTTAGTTAATTTAAATATATATTGTTCGAAAATGGGGAAGGGAAATAAGATTGGGATTTTATATAATAGTTAGAATAATTTATTAAAATTTTTCATTGATTTTATTTTCAAATAGTAATGATGTGCGCACAGTATTTACATGACGATCAATGTTAATAAATAAAATTCCGTTTACGAAACTGTACTGTGAGGAAAGAAAATGTTTTTTTTGTGTTATCGAGTGATTTTTTTTTTTTTTTTTTTTTTTTTTTTTTTTTTTTATTTCATTACATCAGATTTCTTCTTCTGTAAACTTAGTATTTTTGATTTTTGGAGTAGTGACAATTGTCAATCATTAATTTTGTTTTTATGTTTACGTGTTTACGTGTTCCGATGTAGGACGACGCAGAATTTCTAGTAGTAATATCGGGCTGAAAAAGAGAATTAACAATTATTCAATGAAAATTTATCAGTATTGAAGAAGAAATAAAATTGACATATCCACATTAATCACGATAAACTGCACTGTCTAACATTTTTAATTTACTGTCTTTTTATTTTTACTTATTACTTTTATAGAAAAATTCTGTACTACAAATGAGCATTTAATTTAAATACTCATTATATCCAGAAATTTCATATCATATTAAAAATGCTATTGATACAAATTGGAAGTGTTTTGAAAATTATTATACAATTTATTGTATATTTGAACACTTCGGTATTTATATATGATCAAAAAAAAAAACAAAAAAACAAAAAAAAAACACTGACTTAATCATATACTCATGCCGGATCCATAACAAAAGTACAACATTGAAGAATTTGTTAGTTTAAGTAATTGTAACACATATTCACCAAAGTGTGTACACGGGTAATAAATGCTAAATTCTTTATTATAAATCATATTTTTATAAATGGCAAACTTAATAATTGCAGAAACGTTTTGTGAGATTACATTTTTCACAAACATCAAATACAGGGATTGGCCAAGTTCACAAAAATGAAATATGTATATGATATCATAATGTTTTCTTCTATTTTGAGGTGATAATGAAGAGGAGTGTTTTGAGATTAATTATTTGAGATTACGTCTTAATAAATAGCCAAAAAATATCCACACTGAATAAAACTAATCATTTTTCTATACAATAAACTATATAAAATAATCTATTATTTTGAAAAATTAGTTGTAGTTTATAAGGAGCCGTTTTATTGTGACGAAAAAAAAAAAAAAAAAAAAAAAAAAAAAAAAAAAATTTACCAACCTTTCGAGATTGCAAGTCTCAAAACGTATTTTTAAAATTTCTTGACCCATAAAGAAAAAATAGTGTATTATAAGAGTCTTATGATATTCTAGCAAATTATAAATATTTTTTTTCATCTACACAACTCAAATTAATTTTAAGCTAATTTTTATATAATTGTTTGTCGTAGGGAGTATCCTCAATTTCAGATTTTTTTTCTCTATTTCAATAAAAAAGATTTTTAAATGTAAAAGCATTTCATATTTTGATAATTTTACTTATCAAGTTTACTAATTTATTAATTCTTTAGAGAACGAGTGGATTCTAATTCATATGATAATTGAATCAAAATTGAGATATAAAATTTTTAATTTTGCTTTATATTCATGTATTATTTAAAATTTTGTTTGCAATGAAATTGTTTTTTTCATTTTTTACATTATTCAGATGTATTTTTTTTTAATTCTCTGCTTCTTTAACTACTGAATGTGATATAAATTTTTTTTCTTATAAAAATTTGGAACTTTATTTTATCACTTTAACAGTACATAGAAATGAAATTAAATATTAGTGGGCATTATAATATATAGAAACAAAAATAAATATTTTTCCAGTTGTATGTAAGAAAAATATCATTTAGTTTGGTCGTTTGCTATCGCTTGTCATTGGATTCATTATTAATAGAAACAATTAAAGGCTCGGATTCACAAATAAAGGCAAGATATTGCGATTTACAATGTGAGAATTTTTTGGGGACTTTAAGGACGTGGGCAACCAAAACATTTTAAACAACAAAACACTACTCATGATAGATCACCGCTCACTTCAATTTTCAATGATGATTGTACCAAGGGCTCGTAAAGTGAAAGATTGGAACAGGCTGCGAATAATAGTAATAAGAAGATCCTGCAAAAATATGACAGATTTGCTTTACACGTGATTGCAAAAATGTGGACATTGTCGAGATGTTTTATGTATATTTGCAATTATAAGCTTTAAATATGTAACAATAGATTATTTACTGAATGAGATGTATTATTGCGATAAAGAGTTTGAATTATATTTTCTATTCTTATATAGTTTTTTTTAGTTCCTGATTGTAAAGCTGGTTGAAACAGAATAAGATATTATTTGATTTTTCATTAAATAAATTTGTTTGCCATTTCATTATGGAAATTTAATTTTGAAATCATTTTGTTAGGAAAGTATTGTGCACTTTGACTATAATTATTTTATAATGTAGTTCTAATATTGTGTTAAATCCTAATGTCTGTGTGTAAAAAATGCGTGATATGACAATTTGTGACATTCTAATTACCTTATTTTAATTTTTCTTTGCTAGCAGTACTTTAATATACATATATATATATATATATATATATATTGCTAGTATACTTATTAGTATCAGTTGTGGATATATTGATGTTACTATCAATAATCAGAAATATCATGATAAGGAGAAAATATGATTAGGAAGCGGGAATAACAAAAAAGCCATCTAAAACTAATTATAAAAGTGTGTAACCTAATTTGAAAAAAAGATTCATCGTAATTCTTTAATCATCATAAAAAAAAAAAACGTGAAAAAATCACATCGATAACATCAAAAATCAAAATTAAAAAAATTACATCATGCTGCAAACATTTTCTTATTTTTTTTTCATTTTCTTTTTTTTCTTTTTTCTAAGCGAACGTCAAACAATAGAAGGCGAAAATATTCATGTTATGCAGCTAAGAATTTATTGCACAAAAAAATGTGTCGTAAAAAATTGCTCACTTAAAAATCAGCATTTATTTCAAAAAACAAATTGTCGAGACTTATTGTTCTTGATCTTGTTCTGGAAAAAAGAGCGATCGATGATTTCTCGATATAAACGAGACATAAATATCATTATTCAATACATATATGCATACATTATTATATCATAATGATTTATATTTAATTGTTGATCCTTTAAATTCCATTAATGCTAATTTAACTACAGTCATTAAAGTATTTTAAAGGCATTTGAAGAATTTAAAATTAAATATAAATCATTATGATATAATATTAAAGCAATTAAATCAATTACAATACTCTTAAGAAATAAACAAAAATTTATTGAAAATTTGGTTTTTGGAATTATAATGTAAAAAAAAAAAAAAAAAGAAAAAAATCGATATTAGAACTGATCTTGAGAAATTTTATTTTATAATAAAATATTTTATAACAATGCATTAATTTTAAAAATTATTATTCGATTGAAAAGGTTGTATATATTCAACCTTCATCATACGATCTTTAATCACTAACTGAATAAAAATTGTATTAATTTATATAAAAAATATGTATATGTATTAATATAATGATTGACATTATAAAAATTTATTTTTAATAATGCAAATAGTTTTTAGTTACCGAAGATATCGTTTTTCAGTTGTTTTACATATTGTTATTCATTATGTAAAGAAAAAAAAAAGAATTTTGTTTCGTATAAAATTTATGTACGACGTGAAAGTTTTGTTAGAAGTGATATGAAATTCAATCAATTATCATTTATGTGCCATGTTCACATTAATATGTAGAGTATATATATATATATATATATATATACATATAAAGTGATTAACGTATTGCGAACTCCATAAAATCCAATTTTAATTATGACTAGAGCTGATAGTCTCAGTAGTTTGTATTGCGGACACAGTAGTAAACTATCGTTCATACCTTTTTCTTAAAAAACATTTGACAAGTAATACAGTATTCACGTTAAATAATGTGTCGCATTTATTTTTGCTAGGTAGGTTGCTCATTTATATTAAATTAATTTTAATTCATTTTGTAGAATTAATATAGTTAATCCAGAAAAAAAAAAATTAATATAAAATAATAGTCACGTCGGAGAAATTTCTGGAAATTTAATTTTATCGCATATATATATATATATATATATATTGGAATTAAAATAAATCATTCGTTTATCACAAATAAATTTGCAATTATATTTTTAATAATGTTTAATCATTGTTATGCAAACTAATTATTTTATAAATTGTATATAAATGGGTTGTAAATTATTAGAAAAATTCATCAGACAATTCGTCGATAAAAAAAATTAGTATCTTATAAATTATCTAAAAATTACAAACATAATGATAAAAGGTAAATATTTTGGAATAAAGTGTCTATTAGGCTAATATCATTAGGGAGTAATTTGAATTCCCCATTAATTTGATGAAAAACCCTTTTTCCTATAAGTATTCTATAAGTAGTGTATCGTATGATCTTGTATTTAACGGATTAAAGAAATGCTTTCTGCGATAAAATTGAAAAATTAAATGTAAATTACATGGGCGATTATTATCGTATTGTAAAAAATTTTCATATACCGAGCTCTTTCAACTAAATCGTTGGTACAGTCTTTTAAAAAATCCAGTTACCTCGCTTAAACTGCCCTTAAAAGCCCGACATTTGAAATCTTAATCGCCGCTTGGCTCACGATTACAGTACGACTACGCGAGCCCAATTACTTCGTAAATAAACGAATAATTTATAAAAATGCAAGTAGACTTGATCCTAGAAGGCGCCGATTAACTTATCCTACGGGCATTCGCTGTCTTCTATAAGAACAAATTAAGAAAATCAAAATAACGAAGAAGAATCGATAATACGTACCGAAAGACCTGAGCGGATGTCTGCTCCAAAGATATCTGCGCTTAATCGGGCTCAGGTAGCTGTCCCTCAGGAAGAAGGGCTCCCTCCGTTGAGCGTAGTAAGGGATGTAGGGGGCGAAGCTCGGGTACCATGAAGGATCCCTAGTGAAGGAGCTGATTGGTCTGTAGGGGGAGGGATTGAGTAGGTCTAGGAGGGGTCGAACGCCCGACAGCAGCGACGTTGGAATTCGTGGCAGGAGGTCGGATAGAACGTTGCCTGATGTCAAACCATTTTGATTATTAGTGCTGCTTTACTTTGACCCGTGTTTTAGTTAAAGGCTCGGAATTGCTATTAAATTCTCAGATTTCTCTAACGATTAAATTAGAAATATTTTAGTTTTAACGCTCTTTAGCCGTTCAAACGTATCAATGTCATTAAATCGGAGTATTGTTATGATGCGATAAGTCGTTTTGAAATTTGAGTTGACATAATTTTATTAGAGCTTGGATTATTTATTATATTAACATACTTATTCAAATTAGTTATCATATATATATGAATAATATTATTCAAATCAAATTGAAATTGTTGGATATCAAATTTGCTTCTTAAATTGATTCTCAAATTAAAAAAAAAAAAAAAATGCTTGATCTATATAATTAGTTTGATATTGAAACGATAATTTTATCCATTAATTTTGTATTTCAAACCAATAATAGGGGAAATTTTTACACGTAGTTTAATAGTTTCTTTTTTTTTTTTTTTTAAATTTATTTAAACGAAACAGGGGAACAATAATTCCAACCAAATATTACTCTCAAAGGTATTTTATTCCTATATTTTTGCACTTTATTAATTAAATTGGACTACGATAAATGAAATGTATTGGACTCACCGTGAATATCGAAGACCGGTTTTGAAGACAAAGATAATGGATGAGAGTAACGAGATACTGGGCTATAGTGTGGGTACGTTCTGTCAATGTTACCAAGACGATCCAGATGATCGTTCCATGCCTTGTCTGCATCGAAGGGTCTTGCTGCACTCATAATTCAAAATAGTTTAAATTTCCTTTTCAATCTTTACTTTCAGCTATATAATATTTATTATTATTTTACGTATTAGGTATATAAAGATAAAGGAATGATAAACGAATTAATGAGAGTGAGATGAAGATTTTTCTTTTTTAATAAATTATTCAAAATAATTATTACTTTGCATTGATATTTGAGATTCGTGGTAATTTATTCTTCCGTAATGGATATCGCACAAGTTAAGTGAAGAATTTTCATCAGAAATTCTATATAAATGATTAGTTGGAAGAAACTAACGATGCAAACAATAGATTAATTCTTAAGAGTGTATAATATATATATATATATATATAATATCCATGTAATAAAATATTTATTTGTACAAATACTTATATAAATTCCACGATTTATTTCTCAGTATTTTAAGCCAAAAATTGTCTAATGAAGTCTAATTATTCAAGTTTTATCATGGTAAGAATTGAAATTCTCGAAAATTGCTTTTCTGAAATACCTTTCAATTAATTAGTGAGCGAAAGGTTTTTACGTAAATTTTACAGAATCTGTAATTATATTGTTTAAATAAAAGTAGAAACGTTGATATGCCTTTCAGTAGACGGTTTAATATTGTAAATTTAATATAGTGAAGCGACGAGAGAAGAATTTCTAATCCAGATCACAAGTTTCTTATTCACCCATGTAAAATAAAATAAAATAAAAAAAAAAACAAAAAAAAAAAAACAGTTGCAACAGTTAGAAAATCAAAAAAAATAAAACTTTTTATTGCTTAAGTATACATTTCATAACAAAAAAATCAATTCATTGTCTCTTACGAAGAAAAAAAAAATGAAAACGTCTAGTTGTACACAATTATTACATATCACAAAAATTAAAGTCTCTTAATTGAATATTTGTTATTTACAATAAAGATAATAATTTAAAAGTATTTAACATGCTGAGAGTTTGTTAGATAAAAAAGGGGTACTAAGGTAGGGTGTAACATTGTAACATTGTTTATTATTTTACATTTACTAATAAGATAATGTTATTATATATTACAAGCTTTTCATTTCATATAATTTTTATTAATTCTGTTTAATTATTTTTCAAGACATTACATTGACAAGAACTTCCATTAAAGCTTGTAATAATTATTTCCAACATCATCGTAATTTCTATATTAGAATAGTATCTTTTATTATCACGATATATTGATTTTATAATCTCTTTTAGAGAGAACAAAAAATCATAAGAAAATAGATAAAGCTTTACGAGGTTTTGATCAATTGTTTCCCGTTGAATAAATTCTTATTTAGGTGAACATTTTTTTTGTTTTTGTTTTTTGTTTGTTTTTCGTTTCTTTTGTCATATCGATAGGCCTAGAAAAAGGACACCGAACTGCCACAGAAATAATAAAATCGCACAAAAACACAAAATGAGAGAAAAAAGCTTATACTGACCTTATTAATAAAAATTTTGTTTCGAAGAAAAAAGTGGAGTGAAAAATTGTATACATCTAAAAATCAATATTTTCTATATCTGCGTCATCCGTCAAAATATAATAATACAAAAACATTTGATAACTGCTCCGTAGATAGGCTGTTCGATGAGCTTTGCGGTTTTTATATTTTCTTTGTTAATATGGTAATATTAACAAATATGGTAATGACAAAGAGAGGAGCCCAACTTCTTTTAGATATACACTTTTGTACAAGGTATTTTGTACAAGTTACAAGATATTTTTCAAAAAATTAAAATGTTAAAGTAATAAAAAGACTTCATAATTCACATTGTTCTTATAGTAAATTCTAAAATATATTATGAAATATATATTTCTTCTATTTTAATTGCAATTTCATTATGATTATTAAAATTTACGTATCACATTTTAAAATAAATAACTTAATATTACTATTATAAAGTCTTTTTAAGTTTAGTTTAAGAAATGTTACTGTCAAGTACATTAGATTTATTCATATATATATATATATATTTTTAATGAAATATATATATATATATTTTTATATATATATTTTTAAAATATATTAAATATATATATATAATATAATAATAATAATAATAATAATATATTAAAATATATATATTTTTAATATTTTTATGAATTTTTAATTCTATTGAAATGGAGAACATAAATTACACAGGGTTGACATTAAAATAAAAACTCATGCCATTACTTGAAAAAGACAGAATTTAAAATAAATCTTGTTGAAATTAGATATAATCAATAAAGTTACATTATTTTGGTTGACTAAGAAAATAATAAAAAATTGTTTATATATTACTATTTATATAATAATATTTTAACATTTTTAAATCTCTTGAAATTACTGAAAAAAAAAAAAGAAAAGAAGTTAGTAATAAATTAAGAAGAAGACAAAAATATATGTACATGTGCTTTCAATTTTTCTTTCATTTCATTCTATCATAATATATTATTTATATTAATTGAACATTTATAGTTAGTGAGCTTATGATTCTCAGTTAATAGTGTCTCAGTTGTATTAAAAAATAATATATTTCTCATTTGAGCATGAATCTTTTCTTATAAAATATAAAATTATCTCAGTTTTTATTATACTTGAAGAATTTTTTCTTGTTGCTTCTTTTATATGTTAATTTTATTGATTTTCAATTTAATTTTTTTGTTAGTATTTATCTTATTTACTAATTATTTATGTTATGCGTGTAAGTGATAAATTAAAAAATATTCTAGAAAAACTCAGCACATTACCGGCAAGTCGAAACCTTGAATTCCATGTTTGAAATGAAATAAAAAAAATAATAAGAAGCTTTCATTTTCTAACTTTTTCAAGTATATTTGGCTTTATTTAATTTTTATATGTGATACCAAAATTATTTCATTATAATATTTAATGCATATCTCATTGTAGTATTATTATCTTGTAAGTGTCGTCTTATATCGTCATATATATATATATATATATATATATATATATATATATATATATAATGGCGTATAAAAATTGTTTTATTCGAACAAGTAATAATTGTGTGAATTATAAATAATACAACAAAAAGTCACAAAAGTAGTATATCTGCATAAATAAAAACGTCTCAATGTGTACAGAAAAGTGTCATTTTAAAATGTATTTTCTACGTGAATTATAATAATACGTGTCAATTTGTACGTTTGCAATTACTGTCTTCGTCAGCCACTTCTTCAATCTTCAATGTTTCAATCTCAAAGAATTTAAATTTAGCGAAAGAAATAAGGAATAACGGCGAATTAAATACGAGATGTCATTTCTTTAAGCCGCTGCCATCACCAATGCTGTAAGATTCGAACAATTTTCAGAAAGTCTCATTTATATTTTCCTGTAACATTGATAATATGAAGTTGAAAATTCAACATCAAGAGGATAATGTTTTATTTTGCTACGATGAAAAGAAAAAATTAAACCTTCTTATCTTGGAAAAAAATTAGTGAAATTTTTAGATAAAAGATAGAAAAGATATTGATAAATGAATAATTTATTTTTATTACGAATTATTAAATATAAAAGTGCTTGATAAAAGATTCGATTTATTTTTTAAGTTTATTTTATAAGCATTTTATCATTTTCGTATAACATTCAATGAAAATTCTCTTATAAAAACTAAAGTCTTTGCATAGGGTAACAAAACTGAAACAAAAGCATTATTTCAACTGTTCTTTTTTTGTCTTTATTAATTTAAATTTTTGTATGCAATTTTTAAATACAGTATGACTAGATCATTTAGTAATTTTAAGAAAATTTACAATTAAGGGATTGATGTGACTTTGAAATCGTTTGTAAAATTATATTAATCGAATATTGCACACAACGACACTATTACAAGGGATTTTATAAGTTAATTTCCAATATCGGGAAATGATATTAATTCATAATATAAAAATGCTTTCACATCATTGGAAATTAAAATTTATTTTCACCTCGAAAAAAAAAGAAAAAAGAAATGGGAATATCGAGATTCGAATGCAACATTTAAAGATTGGTCAGATCGTCAAACACATAATTAGTAATTAACAAGACTCTTAAGGATATAAAGACGTTGGACGAATGGCCCAGGCAAAATTCTATCACCAAGGATGAGTTTGCGATGGATCGGCTCTGGTGTAAGGTCGTTCACTTTACCGAGATGATTGACTAAAGTCCATTGCGAGGGTGGGATGCCTGAAAATACAAAAATGGTAGACCACAATGGACGCATGTAGACAATGTAGACGAGATAATTAACTTTTAGAAAGAAGAGATCCTGCGGATGTTTTTTGATTATTGGCAAAGCGTTTAGCGCTTGGGCTGAAGTTGAACAGGTGAATTATGCTTAGAAACATATTATAAAAATGAAATTTATCTTGGAAATTGGAATAAATTTACAGAAGCTTATAATGTACAGTGAATATAATTGAAAAAAAAATGAAGAAAAATGCTAAAACAAACAAACGATCAAAAAAAAAAAAAAAAAAAAAAAAAAAAAATTTTTTAATTTGAGCAGTTGACTCTAAATACACCTGTTGTCTGATTGTTCATTTACTCAGCGAAAATTGAATAATTGAGGGCAACGAATAGGACCGAATATTGGAAATGAATAAACTCATATATCTGGAAAAATCAATTTAACAGAAGCGAGAAATTTCTATGGATTCTCAAGTAAGAATACATCAATTGCAGACTTTCTGAATATTATTAAGACTTGTACAGATGCATGCGGATGGCAACGATGGAAAGAGTTTGATGAAAATGATCCTCTCAACGTTGAAAGCTTTCCTCATCATTAATGTATTCATTCGTTAAATTTGCAAATCAATTAAGAGACTTGAGGCAATTCTGTAATTTTTAAATTTATTTTATTCCCCGAAGTACATTATAAATATTGAATTAATAATCGTAAGTAAAAGTGTTCAACTTAAATTGTTTATTTCTATTTTCCAAATAGTGCAAATTTTCTCAAATTAAATAGAAATTTATTTAAAAATTATATATATAGTAAATATTCGAAAGGGAAGTATTAAAATTGTTTTTGTATGACTGATCGAGATTTTTTGTGTTGTAGAAGATTGTGCTGAATTCTTTTATATTTTTACAGTTTACTCTCTCTCTCTCTCTCTCTCTCTCTCTCTCTCTCTCTCTCTCTCTCTCTCTTTAATGTGTTTTAATATAAGACGTCGAATTAAACTAGCTTGTTAATTAAATTAAATTATTTAATACTAGTTTCAACTATATAATATGTAAAATAAAAATAAAATAAAAATGTAAAACTAAAAATAAATGAAAAAAATGCTTATTTTACCTTTGTTTATAGCTCACTTTATTTCTTTTCAAAGGTGTTTCTAAAAGGTTTCTCCAATTATTTTCAAGGCATATTTTTTTCTTCTTTAATTTGTACATTTCAATAACATGTGATATGGTACATGATTTCGTATATTTAAAATTATATCGTTGTTACGTTATTTAAATGATTAGACCAATAGGTATTCGTGTGTGCAATGTGCATTGATTGTATTCCTTTGTGATTATTTTATATATATGTATACGCACACACATGTACATATACATATACATATACATATACATATGCATATACATATATATGTATATATATATATACACACACACACACACACACACACACACACACACACATATATATATATATATATATATATATACACACATAAATATATACGTATATATTGTGTACTGATTTTAAGTAAGGTCAAAGATTTATACATGATAATGGGAAATAAGTTACAAATTTGTAATTAGTGACATTTTACACAAATCGACGTGATATGCACAACATGATTTTTATTCTTTATTAAATATAAAAAGTACTAGTAATGGTATGAATATTTTAGTTTCTTTAAATAATAATGTTTCATCACTTAATAAATACATATTGTGTAAACAGTAATTGTAAAAACCATAACTAATATTTTTATCTCGATACAAGTAGAAAAAGGGCTTTGAAAACAAAACAGAGATAATTCAAATGGAAAATTATGGATAAAGTAAATTTCTCTAAAAATACGGCTTTGAGAAATATTTCTGTTCTCTCCTCTTACTTTTTCTCTCTTTGTAAATAAATTTTTATTACTTGCCTCGTAAGATATTTTGATATTTAAGTTGCTACTCATGCTCTGTAATCAATTCCCTTATCTCTTTTATATTCTGATAAATTATAAACGTATAAGAAGTGTTGGGTGTTTAAGAAAAGATCAGTGTTTCCAACTCCTGATCGCAAGCTATATTAAATAGTTTTTTGTTATGGCTATGTAAATGTTAGCAATAGATCTTTTCAGTGCTTATAACAAAAATTTCAATATTAAATTATTGTTAGGTTAAATTATGAAAATAATTGTTTGAACTTTTCTTAGTCTTTTGATTAGGAGTTGAAAGTAGCTGTCGAGGTTACATAAATATGAACTTAACGTCTATAATAAATAGATGCATGATGTTTGACTTTTAAAATATTAGAATTAAAAATAAAATTTAAAAATTATAAGTAATTTGCATATGGGCGACAAAACATATTTTCAGTGGACTGGTTAAATTAATGGTATTCATGGTGGATGTTACAAACCTTGGAGTCGATCGCAAAGAAAGATAGACAGACGCGACAAACAGACACGCACAAGCGCGCACGCACGAACACACACACACACAAGGACACACACGCACGCACGCACGCACACACACACACACAAACACACGCGCGCGCGCGCGCAAGCACTCAAACACAAACATATTTACGATGTGATGACACGTATATTATATGTACGTAATTTTTTAATTCATCTGATCCATTATTCAATTATTAACGATTAAAAATTGTCCCATATGTTATCCGCTTTTTAAAATTTTTCTACTAGTGCTTTATAACATAATGATCGAATCGAATATGCAATAATAATTATATATATATATATATAATTAAATAATAATCGTAGCAAATAATTAATTAATATTAATAGTAATAATAATGAAATAATAATAGTAATAATAATTAATTGTATATTGCTCTAGTCGTTTTTTTGTGCTCACTTATCGCGGGAATCTCGAAATATGTATATATATATATATATATATATAATTATATTACGATTTTCATGCTCTATGAACGTTCGCTTTCATACTCTTCGCGTTCAAAAAAACTCACGATTTCTTTTAAATTGTTTAATGACGCCGAAGGGATGCTTAGAAGTACGTACCGGGGACGAAGCGTTCGATTGGTTTGTATTGGTGGGGGTAGATCTGCCTTGGCGTATATCCGTAGATTTCGCGGTGCATTGGCAGGTACCTATGACAAATGAATTGTTCACGTAATTATGAATTAGTCGCGATTCTCATTATCGAGAAAGTTTCGAGAATTATGAAATTTTAATGCAACGAATTTTCTTAGATATTAGTCCAAGTTCGTCGTTACTTTGCATTTATAGGAAATTAAATTTCATTTCAAGGACATTTCAAGCTAAGGCAAATTAATGTCCGATAAAATTTGGGTCATTATAAAGTGGGGGCTTAGCGAATTAATTACGTTTACTTTGCAAACTTATGCTTAATAATATCGATAACGCTTTCTTAGATTTCAAAACTTGAAAGCCCTCTGTCGTTCAAAAACGTAAACAAAGTAAAAATTTAATTAACTGATTATTTTGTTGATTATTTTGTTGAGAATACTCTGTACGTAATATATACTTTATACATAATACTTTTTTATGAATAAATTTACCTGTATCCAGGGGAGTGAATGCGCTCAGCAGCATGAGATGGATCATCGTAGATGGACTTTCCAAAAGGATTCCATGAGGTGTGTAAATCTGGATAATCCGTTCGGAAAATACTGCGAGGTTTATGAACGTAATCGGGTGCTCTCATATCATCGGTGCCTGGCAAATACGTCAATTATGAATATGAAGATTTATGTAATTTTGTATTTATGGAAAGTATGGAAATTTTGGAAAATATTTTAATATTATATTAATTAAAGGCTTTAATTCAGCATTGATTAACTTATGAATTATCCGATACAATATCGGTCAATAAATTTATCATTATCATTTAGCCGAATACGCTTACTAAATAACAATAACAATGCAATTAATGATATCGTATGTATTAAATGAAATAACCAATTGTAATTACAAGTAGCATCACAAGCACAAGGTAACGATAATCGTTAATTCTATGCTATACTACTATGCTTCATTAACAATTGGCCTGAATTTCCAAACTCGTATTCATAAGATAAACATTAACAATATAAATGCTCAAATACCTTTAAGAGCACGAACGTAGCTTTGCCAAAACTTTGCTTTTTTTGTAATCGGTTCGTTACGTCCGATCATTTCGAGGTTGCTTCTGAATCGTGCATCCATCTTGCCGCTTTATTGAACTGCTACTATGTTCGTTCGCTGAAAATGAAAATGGAAAGTTGTTGCATAAGCTGCTCTTTGTGGAAGGAGAATTTTTTTCCTCAAATTTATAATTTACATTGGAACTTCATGTTATGCATTTATTTATGTCATACGAGATTTTTTTTTTTTTTTTTTTTTTTGTTGTTGTTGTTCGTCTAGGCTGACTAAATCTTACGTCGACTACTGTCTCTGCGTACGACTGAAACTGCGCCTATTAATTACTCGCTCTTGATTTTCCTTAAATTAATTACTTATTCTTCCTTAGCTCTCTGTAATAAGCATTGCGTCCAAGTCATTTGCGCCTTATTCTATTAAGTAGAGTTAGTTAAATTTTGCAAATCCTACAGAGCCTGCTTTCCTTCCCCTATTGTTTCGTTACCGAATTTATATGTTTAGATAAATCCGCGTGTTGTATTCATAATAAATCATATTGTGTCTGACGATAAAGCAACAATAATGCGATAGATATTTATAAATATGTTTCATGTTAATAGAAGACAATTAATAGGCTCGAGATGATCGAGATGATCGAGCGATTGGCATTATTTTAATGCTTTTTTTACTTTATTCGCCTATTGATGTTCATTTGATGAGCAATTTTTCGCTTAATAACATAAATAAGTTGAAAAAATTTTTCCAAATTAAACGTTTAGGAATGAAAAGTTCAATGTACTTTTTGACTGTACATTTTATATTTATATATTTCTATCATATTGGTTAAATAATTTTTCAATAAATATTTTATAAAAAAAAAAAAAATAAATGAAAGAAAATTTACTTTTGCCTGAATCTAATAAGTTTTTTTAGTTAAAAATATTTGAAATCTTAGTTAGCTTATCTTGGTAAATTGTTTATTAAAGCTATTATAAATATTTATTGGAAATATATATAATCGATAAAGTTGACGGAATTTTATTCAATTGGGTTAAGCTTTACTTAGTAACTCTCTATTTCACGTCGGTTGAGCTAATATGCTAGGTCGTAGCTTCCTATCTCTTGTTTTCCAAAATAACATTCCAAGTCGTTATGTATATTAATACATTTTCGAACATCTTAAATATACATTAGCGTTTGAATTATTATTCCTTTGCGCCTTGTGCTACCTTATTATGAAACATTATTTGACAGATCATGGAATTACATTGAAATTTATGGAAATGTGTCGAACATTATCAGTATTAGGAATAGTTTGAAGGTCCCGCGCACCTATTATGAGAAAACTCGGTAATCGGGGTTAGATTATTCTGAGCCTAATTCACAGGTTAATATTGCGAACTTAATAAAAGAAACCCCCATAGATTTTATGTCTTTTCCTTTTCTATAATTTTTTTTGGATGCGTCAAGGTGAAGTATTCGTCTGAAGGTGAAGATAAGTTGCTACTTCCCGTTCATATTTATTAATATCACAGGCATTGGTTATGTTATAATTTAAACAATGATTTATCTTATTTTTTAAATTCATGATTGAAATAGAATTTTATTGCTCACTCGACAGTTAGATTCAGAAGGACATTATAAAAAAATTTATAGCTGATATTTTAAAAGCGTTTCTTATTGTGGGTTATTGAAATTTTTACTTAATTGGAACATATATATATATATATATATATATATATATATATATAATATTAGTATAATATTATAATATTAGTCAAAGGTGACACACAAACACACAAACAATGACATAAGTCACGGATGCATATGCATGAATATAAATAAATGTGTATGTGTGCGCGCGCGTGTGTGTATAAATATATAATAGTTACACCATGTCATAGTCAAATATAAGTGTAAAATATTAAATTCTATAAATAAATTTGATTGTTCTAGTGGCACGTGGTGGAATTTTAATCTATTAAGAAGAAAATTGATGATACGGAAATACCGAGATGCCTTATAAAATGGTTAATTTGAAGATGAGATAACGATTCGGTTAAAAATTCGTATTAATTAATGCTAGTTTCTTAATTTGGATGTTTTCCAATATTTTCAATATATTTTAGCAGATTCAACTCAAATAAAGTAAATGTATTTATTTGAACAGCTTAACGACAAACAATATTTAGTTTAAAGCATATTTATTCGACTTATTATTTTTTAACTTATTTTTGATAATATTCATAATGAAATCTAAAATAATTATGAATTTTTAATACTGTTGATTGGGACTTAATCAAGTTAATTTTGTTTAGGGATTGTAGAAGAACAATAAAATATTAACGTTATACGTTAGCATTTATTTGAATTGTGTTGTAATTGATAAAATAGTAATGAAATAGTTATCTGTTGAACAAATCTTGATCGATCGAATTAATTATAATTTTTTGAGTTAATTATTTTTATAAAATTCAGGATATACTTTTAAGAAAATTTGTTAATTCTTTGTAAAATATTACGATTGTTTTAAAATGATTAAAATAACGATATTAAATGTGAGAAATTATGAATTAAATTTTTTTTTTCAATACTAGAAAGGCTGTTAATTATATTTACAAATTTATTTAAGGCAAGGAAAAAAAATGCTATTTATAATTTAATAAATAGTTACAAAACAGTCACTAAATAATTACTAAATAGTTTATCATAAAAATGATCGTAAGTACAATAAAGATTCTTAGAGATTAAAAATAGTGTGATTTATTCGTGTTCTAAATTTAGAATTTATAGAGTCTGTATTGATATTTTTATAATGGAATAATAGGTTGATTCGTTGTATTTAAGAAAAATAATAAAATAGATTTAGGATAAATAGGTGGATAGATGGAAAAACAGAGTCATAGATAATGTGTGTGTGTGTGTGTGTGTGTGTGTGTGTGCGCGCGTGCGCGCGCATGATAAAAAGAGAGAGAGAGAGAGAGAGAGAGAGAACGATAAATAAATATTTACAATTGCTATTAATTAATAATCGCGATTAGTGTACAACTATTTTCTAATGTCAAGATATCAAAAATAATTATATCATTTAAACAATGAGCGTTGATACATTTTCAATGTAAAATAGTTAATATTTATCAATGGAAAAGTAAAGATTTTTATTATGTGAATTGCTTAGATGAATCTTATCATGAATCAAAATGAATTGTAAACAGAAGCAATTCTTATTATTAACTTTCATGCATATGTATTTACTGAATTTGATTCAATTTAATGAAAATGGGAAGCATTTTTAATTATAGTTTAAATAACTTTTCAATTTAATTAGGATAAAAATAAATGAATGTAAAAACCCGCAGCTATTGAAATTAAAATTGAAATAATATTTGAAATTAACATCTCTCTTATTTCCGTAGATGTTGATCGATTAAAGATTTATCGATCATTCAATAATTCATTCCATTCATCCCTTATATTTTTGAATGTAGGCTTGAAAATTTTGAAATAAATCAAGGATTAATGCAATAAACTAAATATCATTTGCAATCATACGACAGAATATAAATGAGCGATATTTTGATAAAGCGAGATGAATGTTGATAAAAAAAAGCTTGATATTATTTAATTTATTATTAACTTCATATTAAAGCTTGATAAATGCTTATTATAATCGCCAAGTGTAAATGTGATTTTTCATGCGAAATACAATGTTTAAAAATAAAGAAAATTTTTAATAACTTGACTTTAAGAGCACAAGTTGGCCGCCAAAAGTTTGTCAGTCACGGTATTGTGTAGATGTGGAAAAAGTCCATTTAATTCGTAGCCCCGCCGATTCCGAATACTCGGACCGTCATGTTTATTTTTAAAATGAAATTGCTTGCAAGGGCAGCTGCAAAATGCAAATATTTAGAAGTGTGAATCATACATAAAATATAAAGCTCACAACCAGTTGAATGATCGTGAAAATGCCCGTGTCGCGGCCTGCAAAACTAAATGACATAGTGCCAAAAGACTTCACGCGTGCATTGTATTAAGCTCCACGTCCTCTTTTTTTTTAATTGGGTCACTGTCGCGGCCCCTTGGGCTGCTAATAATTGGGGACGCATTCTCTATCATTCTTCTCTACCATGACATTTATTGCACAAATTCATGTATATATATATATATATATATATATATATATATATATATATGTCACAGATTTAGAAAGGATTATCGCAATATGTATTGTTTATCTTTTATATTGATGGAAATAACCGTTTAAACTTCTATTTATCCTTAAGCTTGAATTTCATTTTTATCTCTCGTTAATAATTAGTATTAGCAGTAGTACTAGTAGTAGTAGTAAGAAAAACTTTAATCGCTAATTTTCCCAATAATTATTACCAATTCTTATCGAAAAAAAAAAGAAAAGAAATGCTAGCGATTGAAGACTGTTTGTCGCAATTTTCGTTGAATAAATAAAATTATTTGATATTTATAATTAATTGTCGGGAGTTTTAGTTAAACGAACTCATCCTCGTGTACTTTTAATTTATGATATTTCGCTGTCCAAGCGCTATTATTAAAAGAAAATTTTTTTCCAGAAGGTTATGAATTAATAGATTTATTATTAGAAAGTTTAAAATGTATTAAAAGAAAGCTATGGGTTGAATGAAACTACTTTTTTTTAAAGATCCGTCAAGGTGAGATTTAGTGGGCGAAAACCAGGCACAAGAAGATGTTTCATACGACTTCAATAATCTAGATGATTCCTAAGAATAGGTATGGGCTAACCATCCAAATCATTCAGGGCAACGATCCAAGAAAAATGAAAGCTCACTCGTAGGTGGTTTCACTTATCGACTTATTAAGGTCGGCCGCATGATTATTTCACATTTATCTCTTCAAACAATGATAAGTAATAACTTTACGTTCAAAGACATAAAATATTTAACGACTAATGTTAAATTTCGATCTTTCATTGATCTAATTCTTCAAATATACGGCATAATGAAATTTTACGAAAAATTATTTGCTTCTTTTTTAATATTAACGCGTTAGTTTTACAAGGTAAAAAATTTCCTCTATATTACGGATAAATGTATAATTGTAATTATAGTCTATTATTATTATTATTATTATTATTATTATTTGAATTATTATTATTGGCATTATTATTATTATTATTATTATTATTATTATTATTATTATTATTATTATTTGAATTATGCTAATATCTAACGCAAGTTCGTGTTATATTAAAGATTGCGAATTGTAATGAATCTTTAAATGCGAGTAAAAATATTTATTACACGATTAGTTAATATTTAGGACAACAAGTTTTCCTTTAAGAATTCTGTGATTACTTATACGAATTAGCACCTTATGAACTGGAAAATTCATTTATTTATTAATGGACCATACTAATCTATAAAATTTTGCACTTGTAGCTTATGACAATAACTTTCGCTTGTGCATTTGTCGAAAAACAAATGAGTTCTGTCAAGGAGAAAGCAGGAATCTTTACCGACTTATTAATAGCCATTGTTAATTGAACTTCGAAAAGATGACTGAGTGGGTAATTGAGTCGCTTGAAAGAGTGGAATTAATCGATGAGTGACATTTCGCACAAGCTATTTTGGCAAGAATTCGCGCGAAGTTTGTGAAGTTCTCATTCAACGCTCAGAGTACAATTTGGCCCACCCCAGAGGCTCATTGCAAAATTTTTTTAACGACCGCACTCGGCGGTTCTCGAAATGTCGAACATTATCGTTTGAATTTCTTCAAGTTAATATCTATTTTCATAGCTTTTTATGTCCTATGAACGAGCGACTAATAAATATCAAAACAATTTTCTATTACAATCATATACCATTGAAATGGAATTCCAATGGAAAAACAAGTAGCACTTTATTTCAATGACAAATTCATTATGCAAGATATTACTTGACAAATTACGTGCATGCAACTAATATTTCATTTAATAATCGAGCAACGTTTTTTCATATTTTATACAAATGTTTTATATTAATGTCGATCTATGTAATATTATTTATGCATCTAAAGTTTGTAATTTCACTGAATTGATAATTATAGAAAAAATTATTTTGCAACGCTTGGTTTTACTATTTATTTATCTCGTTTTTCATTTAAGTAGCAGCAGCGGCGTAGACGGCGGCGGCGGCGGCGGCGGTGGCGGCGGCGGCAGTAGCAGCATCAACAGTAACAGCAATAGAAAAAAATATTGGCTCTTTGTATAATATATTTAAACGAGAGTATGTGAAGTCTTTACGACGTATAAAGATGAAACTTTATGCCGTCAGTTTCACTTCACATGCTATAAATTCACCGATAAAAGTAATTTTAACATAGTCACACATCGTAATAAGCAATAATTAACATTATTTAATAATACCATTCTATTGCTGCAAGATTTTCAGACTAAGATAATATATATTTGAAATGTACCCGTGTACATACAGGAATGGATATTTTACACAGTGCCTAACTAGAACAAAATTCCTGATTTAATCGAGGACAGGCTTTACTTAGTTTCAGATCAAAATTTCACTTAGACTATAATTAAATACTCTTTCTCGGCTTTACACGTTATTGCGGATATATTGAAGAACGTTCGATCACTTATCCGTGTATTCCGAATGTATTATTTTACCGTTTCGTGCATCGTTTCGTGCATTACGTTATGTAATTTAATTTATATTATTTAACATGGTGAAAGTAGTATTTAATTTGCTTTATGAAATTATTTATACCTGTGCTCTCCTTTATCTTCTTCTTCTTCTTCTTCTTTTTTTGTTTTTTTTTTGTTTTTTTTTTTGGTTTTTATACATTTAATTGCTCATCGGTACAATTAATAATGATTGAAATATTTTATGATTATAAGGTCAAAATTTAAGTTCAATAGTGACGTTTATTTATAACATACTTTACTCAAACGTCTTTGCTTAATTTATAATTGCGTATAGTATATTATTTGCACAAACTGTTATAATATATGTATAGGCATACCTCATTGAGCAAGAGTATTTGAAAAATTGAAAGTATCATTCCTTTTGATATATATATATATATATATATATATATATATAAGTCTAACGATATGCGAGAAATCGGCTTAAAATTTTAAAAATACCACGGCTTTTTCGTTTCTTTTTTTAAATAGTTAAATCGATTTTTTTTTTTTTTTTTTTTTTTTTTTTTTTTTTTAAAAAACCACGACTCAACGTTCTAACGTCGAAATATCGATTGTCGAGTTAAAGTAATTTACTTGCATATCAAAAGCGACTTTAAAAATTGAATATCGAATCGCAATGGCAGTGATAACGGCCAAAGGTATTCATTAGACAATTGGACGATAAAAGGAAATTGAAAAGTACGAAAAAGCATAATAAGAAGCGGTCAGCGGTGAGTAGCAACGGCAAGCTCACCAAAGCTTTGGGACGGACGGTCGGGCTTTTCCTCAGTCCCTTTCCAATGGTAAAAGACAAACGGCCGGGCAGCGCCTCACACGCACAAGCACACAAGCACGAATAGCGACGGATAAAAGAGGCGGCGAACTGTCGCACGGGACTGTCTATCTACCATCCCCCCGGAGGCGGCCGATCCGACAAGATTTTCTCCCGTCTATTTTCGGACGATGCGGCGCTTTAAGCTCCCGCCGGATTACGGCCGCGCCCGCTACGTTGCATAATAGCCCCACGCGTACACAGCCCGGAGAAATCGATGCCAATTATTATAAACAAAGTCTCGTCTGATTGGTGCGGACGAGCGCGAGGCGGCACTACGTGCCCGAGCCACTTTGCGCTCCTACGACACACGCATCGGCTGTCTTTTATTTTCCTACGCGACTTCAATTACCGACATTAGCTTGCTCATTTTCCTTCTGCGTTTGCATTTCTCATGTCGACAAACTAGCCGTCTGTTTACGATCGACGAATGCCATAAACAATCGCTTTTTACGTTCCACGTCTCAATCGACTTTTTCGAGTTAATGGCATTTTAATTCTAGGAAAAATTTTATTAAAAAATTTCGAGCCAAGTGATTCATTAATACCTATTTCTATAAATATTATACTCTTTCTAATTGAGTTTTTAGTTTCGGTTAATAATAGCTTCAATTTACATCATAAGAATGATTTACATCATTCACTGTGTTTCCATTATTAACGAAAAATCGCGAAAATATATTTTACAACTAGAATGCTCAATTTCAATTTTAATTTCATAATGCCCAATCAAATTTTTTATTATTTCTCTATAATTAAGATTTTCTTATATAACATATGCATATGCATATTTATATATATATATATATATATATATCAAAGAAATATTAGAAAAATATTTGTCGTATTCAATAATAAGATTAAACTATAATGAATTAAATATAAGCAAATGAATATATTGACAATAAGCCAAATGAAGTAGTGTTAATGATTTTTCAAAGAAAAATTATATCTAATACTAATTTTTGATCAATAGTAATGATGATTTTCTTTAAGCAAAGCCAATTATCTATTTATAGCTATCGAACAGAAGGTAAACAAGCCAATGTCATCGTACGTTTGAATTGGTAAATAATAATTCTAATGGTAAATACAAATACAAATGGTAAATAAAAATGGCGTTTATAAAACAATACATTATATGCAAGTGAATTATTATCATTATTATTATTATTATTATTATTATTATTATTATTATTATTATTATTATTATTATTATTATTATTATTATTATTATTATTATTAATGATTTTTCGAGCCTACTGCATGAAGCAAATTTGTTGTCGATTGCAATAATCATTTATTCTCTCTGATGCGAATAACGATGATTAAAACATAGGAGTGAAATAGTTTTATATATGGAGGTTAATAGGTTGGGTTAGTAATTTATTGGCAACAAACAAAAGTCATACGTTTATGTTATAATTATTATAATTCTCTTATGAATACAGTTGTGTTAAATGCATGTCACGTGTTGATAATGACATGCTCAAAATGCTTGTCCGGGTCTGTAGACGCAATAAGTACAAGGCATTAATAGAGCTTAATAATATGAAAGTAATGGACAATAAGCTCATTAGATTGTATTTAATTATTATATTTCACGCAGAGGAAATCTCCTATCTCTTTTTGATAATGTTGAAATTGGTTGTGCGTCCATTGGTCTTCTCAGTCTGACCACTACCCGGTATTTTCTACTTGTCGTCGCACTTTCAGTCGATGTCACGCACTTTTTTTTTTGCATTCGCGCACATCTGTCGTACTTAGTTTATTTATCTAATAATCGTTCAAGCTTCCATGTATGATCTTGCTTGACTGGCCGTGCTTACTCAAAACTATTCACTTTGATTTTGGACAAATTCCTTTTTCCTTCCTCTTTTTCAATGACAAGCGAATGAAATGCCAGATAATTAATATATACATATGATACGCACTTACGTACGTACTTACGCACGTACCTATGAACTTATGTATACGTACGTGTACGTACATAAGAATTCATGTACACGTATGTACGCACGTGTGCGTACATAAGAATTCATGTACACGTATGTACGCACGTGTGCGTATGCACGCGTGTTTGTATCTATGTGTGTATGTAGGGTGTGTGTATGACCGTTTGTGTGAAATCAAGGGCTATGTTTATGTATATTTGTCCGAGCGTGTGTGTGCGCGCGCATACGTATATAACGTTCTACGTATATGTTGAAGTTATGAAGTTATGGGTCGACAATATCCGAAGCCTTGTAAATTTACCTATGTGTTCGGTTGACCGTTCGGTTCGAAGTTTGGAGCTTAGACTGAGCTCTGTCCGCCAAAAGTGCAAACTAGTATAGAGCCTGACCGGGAGTGATGCGACAGTGGCGCCACCTACGGGCAATCATAATTTGGCAATCCCACAACCCGAGACATTTATGGCAACCCCCGCTACTCGGCTCATCACCACTCTCATGCCATTTCTTTTTTACGCGCGTGGATACCAAAAGACTCTTGGCGATGATGCGCGCGCGCGGGTTCAGAGCAGCGCGGAAGGTCACTCGTCGATCTTAACTTAACTCCCGCACCACCGTTTCTCTCTCACGCACACACACACGCGCGCTCTCTCTCTCTCTCTCTCTCTGCCTCTCTCGTTCGATCTCACTCAAACCAGCGCTACGTATTCGTGGCCTTTAGGGGGCGAAAAAAAGCTAACGGTAAGGTGAAGGTCGAGTTCCTGAGCCCCACCACGGCTACGTTATGTTTGTGACGATAGCCTTGAAATGACGATGCTCGGAATCCAGACGGCGCGAATTTTCATTGCGTAGCTTATTATTTGCTTTTACTTTTCTCTGATTAAGGCGGAAAAATAAATTAAATTGCCTCGGAGTTAATTCAAGCTCGCGTCTCTTAGTTTGGCTTCTACGACGAACTGTATCATACACGTGCTCATGCGAATTTATTGGGAAATTCAATTTTCATTTCCTGATGTGTCGAGAAGGTAATAAGGACTAGCGCATATTTTCCTTTGTTTCGTAGAGGATAGAATTCATTATAAAACCATATTAACTGAAGGCTGAATTTAAATTTAAATAGAATAATCACGATGATGAAAATTCACTTTATCCTTTAGAACAGATTTTACTTTGTAAATATTTATAAAACTAAAAATAGTGTTTAAAAAAACAGAAACTTTATTATCTATTTAAATTTTTAACTTTAAAAAATCAAATATTTCCGTCATTATTAAAGGTTGAAATACCGGATGAAATTTATTTTTAATCATTACACACTCATCAATCATATTAATAAACAAAAACATACGTTATTTGTCAAATATTTTTCTAATTGAGTAAAAATTATTATAAAACAGTTCGTCAATAATTTTTAACTAATAATGCAGCGATAAAGTTTACCAGCTAACCATTGACATTTTAATATGATAATTCAATTTATATTACAACCATTTAACAAATTTTTCATTTGTCTCAAGTATTTTAATGAGTTTTATTTCCACAGACAGTCATTAGTTATATTATTTATATCTATATATATATATATATATATATATATATATATATATATATATATAACACTGCATTCTTTTATAAAATATAAAAATGCAATAAATTATAAGAATTATGTCGTAAATATTTGGTTTACTTTAACAATTCAATTGATCTACTCAATTACTCGACATTAAATTACTAAATATTTATTAAATATATCTTTGTTGAAAGTCGTTGGATTAAATTTTCATATCATTATGTAGTAATTACCTATGGCCATTGAACGTCTTATATTCTTTAGTATTTGAAATACTAAAAATAAATGCAAGTATAATTTTATTGAAAATTATGAAAATCTAGCGTTGCGAGTGAAATTGTTTGTTTTATGCAATTTGCATCTCGTGAAGTTGCCACAAATTTCCTGATATCTAAGGATTAAATGCGCGTGTCAATGTCAAAAGTGTAGTATTCACAAGAATTTGCCAATCAAAATAAATAAAATACCGTATCATAAAAATTATTTTCTTCTAATTTCACGGTATATTAATTAAGTTCGACAGTTAATTATTATTTTAATATTGATAGTGCACAATCTGGTGCACAAACGTAATGAAATTCGAATTCTCGGAAATTCAATAGAAATAGATAGAATTAAGTTGAAAGAGACTACTGGTTGAAAACAATGATACTTATTTCTTTAAAATATGTAGATTGTAAAATTATCTTAAAGTTGACAAATTATATTAATTTTCAGAATCTTTTATTCAAAAACGTATGATTTTTTTTTTCTTTTTTAACAATAATGTAACAATAAAAATAATTGTTATAAACAACTTCTTTTTCAAATTCCCAATTCAAAAATAATAATTTTATATAATACTTTATGACGATTTTTAAATTTATTGTTTTTCAAAATTATCTTAATACTCCTATAAAATATGATTTAATCATTCGTATGAAAAAAAGTTGGTTAATTAAAATGAAATTGCATACGTAGTGCATTATAAGCTATGCATTGAAACTAAATTAAGTAAACATTAGCAGTAGTTTCTATCATCAAATGAGCTTGCAAATTAATTGATTTGAATTAACCAATTTAGTACAAATGGAATTGTAAATCTCACAAAATTTCCAACACGTGAGTAAATTTAGCGAAAGTGAAGCTACGCTTTGGCCAGAATCACTTCGTTATACTCCGTTTGTTTATAAAGCGCGATGAAATGACGTCATAAAGTAAATGTCGCATTTGAGCTTCTTCTGCGTCACGATAGCGAAAATACGAAATGGCAAGTGATCTTTTACTTAAAAAAAAGTAAAATATATTTTTTACTTTTTCATTCAAAATAACTTGCTTCATTTAGACTACGAAAGCGTCAGAGTGATATTTTGTATGTTTTTAAAATAGTATTTTCCTTAACTTGATGACTGGATGGCGTCGGTTTTCAGTTTTATTGTAAATATATTTCATATGCTGTCTTAATAAGAAAAGAAATGTTGTTCGTGGAAAGTAGAAAGATCATGAACATATATTGATCAGTATGTGCTTGTGGCAGTACTAGTTATTAATATTAGTTTATCATCTTCTTCATTATAGTCATTATTTGTTGTTAATATTTGCTTTAATTTATTGCGCACATCTACAAATTATTGTGATTAATTATTGATTTTTATGCTATATAAATTTTAAATTTAAAATAACTCGCCGCGACATTTTTAAGCTCCTCTACACCTTTATTCAGTTTTTAACATTAATAAGTATAGTTAATAATACATAATTATAACGTTAACAAAAATGTTGATACATTTAAGAAATTCTTTAATATCGAAATACTTTATATTCAATATGTGTATTGTTGTTTTAAAATTGAAATAATAGTAAGATAACGATTATGATTAATTTTAAAATAGTAATTGATGGTAATGAAAATTAAATTACTATTGAATTGAATATTAATGTTTATATACGATTTAACAATTTAGTCAAACAAATTAATTAAATATGAGAAATATAAATAACAAGTCGATAGTTTGATTATTTAATTCAAAGGAAAAAGTTTAATGAGATTAACACGACTGGTATGTTTAATTAATTCGGATTATTATTGAATGGCTGTACGAATTTATTTATTTGTCCAATTTTTGCACGTATTATATCGAAGGCTAGAATACGTTATTTTTTCCTCAAATATATTAATAAAATTTTTAATATTTAAGAGAATGTTAGAATTACTATAAGTGAGACAACATATAAAAATCAGCGATTAAATGCATTCGTTATAAAGAATTTACGATAAGTTAATGAAGTAAAAATTTGAAAATATTAAAATTATCGTTTAATCTCTTAAGAGGTGCCTGTAAATATGTCAAAAAGCAACAATACCTACTGTATTAGTTATTTTATATTTTAACGTATTTATTATGAAAAAGAAAATGAAAGGAAAACCTATTTATTTGAAAATGCTTTACATACACGTGTTACACGGGATTTTTTGCCAGTACACGTGCGCAAATATACCTATACAATATAATTGGACTCGTATCTTTATTTTTATTTTAACTCAATAGTTCGCTGCTATTTGATATGTGTGCGTTAGCTCGCGCGCGCGCGCATATTATTCTCTACGATTTAATGTTCTTAATTATAAATCAGCGGTCTATTAGATTTTATCGTTATAAATCATACTTGTCAGATTATGTCAAATTTTTCGAATACAGTATGAATAAAGTAATGTAGCCATTAAAAGTTCGCAGTTAAGAATTGACAGTTTCGAATTAATTTGATGTTTTGAAGAGCTCCCGTTCCCTTTATCATTAAAATGCTTTTAACGAATTAGTTTGAAATCTTAATTAATAATTTGCATTTCGTTTCGTGAAATGTCATCCTGTCTCTCTTTACTCTAATAAATCAATAATTTAAGATTACAGAAATACGAAATAAGATAAATACCTTAAAAATCAATAAATAAAATAAAAGTGAAATAAAATGAAATAAAAAAAAAGAAAGTGTATTTGGGGGGGGGGGACGTGTTAGATGAAAATAATAAATGTCGTAGCGAATGATAACGAGATACAGTCATATTTCACTACGGCATCCATATCATAAACATCCACATCTGCAAAAGCTTAACATATATTCAACAGGGATATAATGGCTGAAAGCGCGTGATTTCTATTTCGTGGCTCGTTGCTATTACTTTGAGGAAAGCGAGAGGCCGAGAAGAAGTCACGTACAGCCCCTGCCGTACTAGCGAAATCTCCTCTTTCCCCCCTCCCCCCCTCCCCGCCCCGCCATCCCAATAACTTTCAATAATATACGCTAATTGCATACATTGCATACATGCGCAGATGAAGAAATGTACGAAGCGCGATTGGAAAGGTGATATCTCGCATTTGGCAATCTTCGGTCATTCGCAGCCCTGTCCTCTACTATACGTACCGCTCGCTCTAAATGCAAGGCTATTTTCGTTACGATGTTCCGGCCTCCCCGGCACAGACGGTCGCGCATTTATTTTCAATCCGGCCACGGCCAAACGGCCATTGGGCGACGCGTCCACGACTCGCGACGCTTTTCACATAATTCCCCGAAAACAAGAAGTGAGTATCCTCATCAACGTATAACATGCTCGGGCTAATGGTGAGGTTTAATGGTGGTCCGAACGCTCGTAGCTGCAGCGATTGCGCGGACATGATTTCGTACTTCGTGAATGTCTTTTGCTCAGTCGCCTGCTTTTCTGGCATACTTTCCTACTGTAATTCCTCACACGTAATTCTTCCCGCTATAATTGCCAATTGCCCGTTGCTTTCTCTGCGAATGTCGTTTAGGTTAATGTCGATACGTTTGACCATTCGGTCCTGTGCTTGACAACAAAAGGAGATTCGACGATTAATATAATGTCACATACTTATAAGTAGCAAAGCTTACTTCATTAACCGTCGATACAAATTCGATTTTTTTTTTTTTTTTTTGTATCTTTTGTAATATATTTAATTGAAAAACGAAGAAAAACATATTTGCCAACGAAAATAATTTTCACTTCACGTCTATTAATATATTCCTCATCTTTTCTGTTCTTTTAATTTTTTTTAATTTTTTTTTTATTTTTTTTTTTTACTTTTTTTTTACTTTTTTTTTAGCGAATGACCAATTTTTCTACCTTTAAATTTTCATCAGCTAATTAAGAGATCGTCGTTAGCATATTTTAAATATTATACTTTCAGATGAAATCAGATGAAATTATACCTCATCTCCAGGATAATTAAAATTATGAAAAGTTTTTTTGAGTACCGCTAAAGTCATTGCGAAGACTCTCGATAGTTCAAAATTTCAATTTCGATAACGTAATCATTTTGAGAAATACAAATATAAATAATACAGCCGTTGAACAAGTTTTGATTATGTAAGGTTGTGATAAATAACGGCACGATAATGTCTTTATATTCAGTAGTACATACGAATGGCAAATTAAAGAAACCCTTAATATTTTTAAAGCCC